CTTGGGAAATACAGGAAGACTCCAAGAAGCTGGGCTGCGTTAGCACAACCTGCACTTTACCTACACTGCTGTCTAGACTTCCAAGCTTGAGGTTGCACCTTCCAGAGAGGAAGGTGAAGTAGCAGAGCTATTATTAGTTGCTACTCACTCTATTGTCTGCTGGCTTCCTAGACCAGGATGAGGTTGCATCACTCTGTCCTTTTTGCCTCCAGCTCAGTCCACGCTGGCTGTGGCCACCACACTCAGGCACCAGTTATTCCATCCCCTTATAAGAGCATACGAAGAGCCCAACCAAATAAGGCCCATCTAGTCCAGCGTCCTGTTCTCACAGTGGCCAACCAGATGCCCCAATGGGAAATTTGTAAGCAGGACCTGACCACAAGAGCACCTTCTTGCTGTTGTGGTTTTCAGCAGCTGGTGTGCAGAAGTATAGTTGCCTCCAACTGTTGTTCTGGATCACAGGCCCCAAGGAGTGGTTTGATGCAAGGACACCAAAGAAGGATGTCAAAAACACCAGTCATAGTTCTTTATTAAAGTAGAGGATGGCCAGTCATAGTTCTTTATTAAAGAAATTTGTAAACTTCGTAAAATTTGTAAACAGTGTGCAAAGCCTCACAGTGAGGGTTTGTCATGACTTCTTTGCACCCAAGCAAACATTTATACATCTTTTATTCACAAAGCAGCTTATATCAGTTTACCCAGAACCTCCCATCACACCTGGTCCATGAGGCCATAGGTGGCAGCTATCCAAAGCTTCTCCCCTGTCTGTGCCTAGAGGCCAGCATCCCAAGTCCTACAGATAAGTACAGCATCAAAGAAAGCAAATTAGCATACAGTGGTACCTCGGGTTACAGACGCTTCAGGTTACAGACTCCACTAACCCAGAAATAGTACCTTGGGTTAAGAACTTTGCTTCAGGATGAGAACAGAAATTGTGCGGCGGTGGCAGCGGGAGGCCCCATTATCTAAAGTGGTGCTTCAGGTTAAGAACAGTTTCAGGTTAAGAGCAGACCTCCAGAATGAATTAAGTTCTTAACCCGAGGTACCACTGTATATCAAAGCAAGTGAAACATATACAGTGGTGCCTCGCAAGACGAAATTAATTCGTTCCGCAAGTTTTTTCTTCTTGCGAGTTTTTCGTCTTGCGAAGCACGGTTTCCCATAGGAATGCATTGAAAATCAATTAATGCGTTCCTATGGAGACCGCTTGCCAGGCTGGCGGTGCGGAGAAGGGCTTTTCTCCCCACCGCAAGCCTTCAGGACAGGTACGGGAACAGAGAGGAAGGCGCGCAGCGCTTCTCCTCTGTTCCCGGGGCTTGCGGTGGGAGGAGGGTTTTTCCTCCCCACCGCCAACATTCAGAACAGCATTCTGAATGTTGGCGGTGGGAAGGAAAACCCTCCTCCCACCGCAAGTCTTCAGGACAGCCATCCGAAGGCTGGCGGTGGGGCGGAGAGACCTCCTCCCGCCGCCAGCCTTCGGAGCAGCCTTCCGAAGGCTGCCGGTGGGGCGGAGAGACCTTCTCCCACCGCCAGCCTTCGGAGGAGGTCCGAGGACAGTGGGGGAGACGCGCTGCGCTTCCCCGCTGTCCCGGAGATTTCCCTATGGGCTTTCGTCTTGCGAAGGAAGCCCATAGGGAAATTCGTTTTGCGAAGCGCCTCCAAAACGGAAAACCCTTTCGTCTAGCGGGTTTTCCGTCTTGCGAGGCGTTCGTCTTGCGGGGCACCACTGTATGAGCTCATTCTTGCAACAACTACCAATTAGTTTGGGGTTATCTTGATTACCACGATGGCACTTGCAGGCCTTCTGGAACATTTCACCTTTGGTTCAACACATCTGTGAAGGCAAAATTATAGACCATTATAGACCAGTAGCTATGGATAGCTCTCTTCTCCAGTATGAGTCTGCCCATTCCTTGTTCCTACACCCCAGTTTGATCCTTCTCTTGCACTCCATTCTCTTCTTCTGACCTTTAGACAAGAGGAGAGCCTGCTAGATCAGCCCAATGGCTCATCTTGTCCAGGATCCTGTTCTCACAGTGGCTGGCCAGATGCCCATGGGAAGCCACAAGCAGGATTCTCCCACAAGAGCACTCTCCCCTCCTGTGTTTGCCGGCAACTGGTATTTGGAAGCATTGCTGCATCCAGCTGTTGAACATCTGGAGGCTGCAATGCTTCTGAATACCAGTGGCATGCCATCTGAAGCCTAACTTATTAATTGGCTCGTGGCAGCATATGCATATTCCCTCTCCCGCTGTTTTCCGTGTCTTGCTTTGCTTCTAGACCTGGCTTCTAGCTGCCTATCTCAACTCTCAACTGGTGGAATCCCAGAGTTCATTTTGCTGCCTGTGTGAAGATTCCACATTCCAACGCACATGCAGTCTTGAAGGCTTCTCCAGCCGTCCTTCCCAGTATGAGGCATTGACCTTTTTCTGTGCTGTTAGTTCCTCAGAATCCTCCTGAGCTCGGCTACTTGTCTCAAGATGTGACAGACCTGCCGAGTCTGCCATGTTTTGGGATGTCAGTGCAAAATAAATAGTGGGCAGGGCACAGGGGAGTCTTCTAGCACTGCTTGTTGATGCCTTGGAACAAAAACCGGTTGACATCTGCATAAAACCCCAGACAATACAAGTCATTTGGTTTTTCATCCCCTGGCTTTCAGAACCAGCATTTCAGAAATAAATTTATGTTGTGCAGCTTCAGGAATTGAGCACATTTTGAAAAAATGTCTAGACTTTTAAAGTGTCAGGCTCCTGGGAATTAACATTGAGGATTGCTGTTACAAATGAAATGTAAGCACATAATGAGGATGGGTGTTAGAGAGTGAAATAGACCCAAATGCTGGTGCATATATAGAAACAACATACGCCCTTTTTCTCTGTAGCAGACAACCCTGTATAATGTACCAATCATTCTTGGCACTCTTGATGTTTAATGTACAGAACCAACGTGTGTTGGAAATTCTCATTTGTTGATATCAACAGATGTTAGAATTCCTCAGTCGTAGTAAATCTTGGCATGTTTGAAGTACTTTTGCATTCCAGGCCGTTGATCTTCAAATATCTTAGATCAGCGGTGTCCAAACTTTTTTCAAAGAGGGCCAGATTTGATGAAGTGAAGGGCCGCGAGGGCTGACCAAAGGGCCTTTTTTTAGGATTGAAGTTGTTATTTCCAGATTAAACCAACCGACGGGCTGAATTAGGCCCCCGAAACGGACTTTGCCCACGCCTGCCTTAGATGATTTATTTCCTCATGGGCATAAAGTTTATAAATAGTATCGTGCAACATAATGTGAATTAGATTTTGGGAATCACTAAGGAAACTGTGTTCCACAACATACATGGAGAAGAGAGCCACGTTGATTCCATTGCCAATCATTTCCTTAAAGGTAGAGAACTTGTCTCTTTTATACACTCTTTGTTGTTTTCTCCCATCTTTTCATTTAAACCTGTTTGGGAGACGGATCTTAGAAGAGCAGTGGATAATGTGCAGTGGAGGAAACCATGTCTCGCTCCCCCATTTAAATCTGCCTCCGCAAATATCCAAGAAAAATCTTTTTAAAATAGCCCATCAATAGTTCTTTACATATAACTAGAGTCAGTTCTCCTGTGTATTGGAGGAGATGTAACAAAAAAAGACCCTGTTCACACATGTGGCATCTTACAAGTGTGTGCACAACTTTTGGGTAGAGGTCATGAAGGACTTTTCTGAAATAATAGGTGTGCTGGTGCCTTTAGACCCCAAACTGTGTCTTCTATCAATTTCTGATAAATCAGATATGGACTTAATATATAAAACACTTTTTTGTTGTTCATAACTGCTTGTTTGACCATATTGCAGGGCTGGAAGGAATCCTGGTTTTTCTTTAATCATTTGATTCAACAAAGTTTATTCTCATTTCTGAGAAATAAAGTTATAAATTGAGGGTATCTTGGGGTTCACCTAAGCCTATGGATTTTGCCTCCGTTAGGTGGCCATTTGTTATTTAACATGACACGCCAATCATGGCGGTGGCAAATCCTGATGAAATGTAGCATTGCTTGGTATTCATAACATTTGTCTTGTACTCTCTCTGTATCAGGTTGGCTTTTGGTGTAACATCTAAATCAATGTGTACTTGAGAATGTACCTTATTTTATGAGGTCATGGTTGTGAACCCTGGATGTGGGGGGAGGTTGGTACTTTCCTCCCCTTTATTTAATTTCATATTTTCTACTGGATTGTTACTTCACTGTCATGATAAAGTCTTGAAAAATTAAATGGTAAATGGCTATCTAAAAATGGTCAAATGCAGTGAATTAGTAGAATGAGAACTGTGAAGCCTCAGTACTTAGACACAATTCTCCATTTTTTTAAACAACTTGCACAAATTAAATATTTGGCTTATTCAGGTTCAGATTGTGTGTCCAGGCCTACAAACATGGTTGGCAGAACTACCTCAAGGAGCCCACTGAACTGGAGGCCTTGAAAGTCCTGATCCCAGGACGGAGCTGGTATTTAATGTGGTGGTGGTATTTAGAAGAGCCTCTGGGCTATGTGAGTTTGGAAACAGGGTTCCTTCCAGGTTTCCCTTTGAATTGCTATTACAGTGGTACCTCGGATTGCAGACGGAATCCGTTCCAGAGCTTTGGTCGGATCCTGAGGTTTCCGCAACCAGAGGGACCACTTCTGCGCATGTGCTCGCAGCGAAACCCGGAAAAATATTTCCGGATTTGCCACATCCATATCCCGAAGGATACGTAACCGGAGGTGAACGTGAGTAGAGGTACCACTGTACTTTCAAAGGGCTGGAATAGGAGAATGAAAACCTGGTGTTTGCTTCCTATAAGGTGGCAACACAGTTCTTTTAGAGTGTGGTTTTCATCCCCAAGCAAAATGTCAGGGTTTCAAGATTTGTGTTTCGCTTCCCCATGGCTGCATTTTTACTAGCAGGTGCCCTTAAAGGAAGTCCCACCAGAAATATAAAATAAAATAATCAAGCTCTCCTCTTTGGTTTGTTACAGAGTCTAGCCCAGCTAGAGAACCTGTGCAAGCAACTGTATGAGACAACCGACACCACAACACGGCTCCAGGCGGAGAAAGCCTTGGTTGAGTTTACCAACAGTCCGGACTGCTTGAACAAGTGCCAGCTTCTCCTTGAAAGAGGGAGTGTACGTAGGCAGAGAAACCCCACCCTGCTTTCAAACCACCTAAGGTGTTCTCTGGGTATTGGCCTGTGCTCATGCCTGGGTACAGAAAAGCACTGCAGGGGTCCTGCTGGTGTGTTCTCTCCTCTGCTCTGCTTACAGCCATGAATTTGAGAACTGATCACTATTGGGTCTTCTTCTGCTTTCTTTTGGAGTAATTTGCACAGAACACCTTGGCCCTTTCTCAGGGCTTTCTATTTAAAATACTTCTAAAGCACTCTAAAAGAAATTGAGTGGAGCTATTTCAGAATTAATGGGGTTCACTCTTGGATCTGCTTGTCGTTCATAAGATTCATTGCAGACCAGCATGAGAATTCAGACACCTCCAGCAGACTTCCACGGTTCTTAGCCTTGAACACCTCCTGTGATAAATCCTTGTGCTCTTCTTACACACTCTTTCCTCCAGTATACACAACAGTATTTCCTGTGAATGCATCTGAGGATCAGACCCTCCTATCTGTCATGGACTGGCTGAATGCAGAGGAATGGTGGAAGGCACCAGCTGGGGTACACCCAAGGAAAGTGAGGGCTCAGAGACACGAGATTGGTGGTGGGAGGACATTGAATGGTCAGAGGGAGAAGAGGGAGCGGACTAGGAGGAGGAGGTGTCGGAAGCTGAAGAATATTCACTGTTTAGTGAACAGGAAGAAGCTGTGGCAGAGAGCAGTCCAGAATCAAGCAGAAGCGGAGGCTGGAGAGGAGGGGGACTAAGAGACACAGATGAGGCAGGGAGTCTTCTGCCCTGGTCTCCTAGAACCCATAGAGGTATGAAGAGGGTGGAGCAAGGACAGACAAGGCGAATAAGTCTCAAGTTGCTTGGGAAGGACATGGCGGGGGGGAGAGGAGATTTAGAGAGCTGTGGGAAGGTGGGGACTTGCAGTCCTCACTACTGCCCCATTGGGACAAGACCTACTGGGAAGATTTGCTGTGTTCACTAGGCCTGAGCTGCTTTCATTTCTTCGAATACAGAGTTTACTTCACTGACATATTGTAAGTTATTGCTGACCGGCTCCCAGTTCATGCCTTAATACTGCATCACCAGTGTGAACATACTTACATCCTTGACCTTTGACAATCACTTGGGAAGCTTTGTCCTGTCCTGTTTTTGCCTACAATTTAACCATTTGCTTTCTGTTTGTGTTTTACAGTCGTCTTACTCCCAGTTATTGGCAGCTACATGCCTTACGAAACTGGTGTCACGCACAAACAACCCTTTGCCCTTGGAACAGCGAATAGATATACGTAAGTAGAAGAAGAGAGCCAGCATGCCCGAGATCGAAATCAATTACATGAGGAGTTTATAAGATGCCCATGGTATTAAAAGAGGACGCCAAAATCTACAGTTGGGCAAACCAAAATATCAAAAATGTTCAGCAAGCTTTTGAGTTCTCCCGAGCTTTTCATCAAACAAGATATTTCACAGGGGAGGGGAAAAGGTACAAGCACAAGGCTGATGTTGTAGCATTAAGATCAGCTTGTAGGCCCAGGTCCAAGATAGTGGTGACTAGCTGAATAAGTCTCTCCCGGGTGTTGCAGATACTAGGTTGCATACCTAGGATTCTGGGATAAAGAAACAATGGCTGCTCCTCATCACTGAGAAACTGATGTTGGGGGTGTAATCCAAACCAGTGGTGATAAACCTGTGGCCCTCCAAATGTTCTTGTACTACAGTTCCCATCGGCTCCATTGATCCCAATGGTCAGGGATGATGGAGTTTGTTGTAGTATAGCAGCATCTGGAAGGCTGCAGGTTCCCCCTCCCAAATCTTAAATGAAGCACGCATGTTCCCAAGCAGAACATCTAAACTTCAGTTTATCTGAGAGAGGGGTCAGCCAATGTTGCATCATCCCCACATCTGAAGTGTGTAACCTGCTAAGTGTAGCACTTGGGAGGGACTTATTCAGCTTTAATTTCTGGCTTGGAGCTGAGAAAGGAAGCTGACATTGGTGTCTCAACAAAAGCCTGATTTATGCATTTTATCCTGTGATCTGTGTAGCATCTTATCCAATGAAGAGTTCTGGAGAGTCGTTCATGGAGTTCAGTCGATTATGCTTGGCACAGTCCTGTGACAACTGGCTGGTCCTAATAACAGTATTGCCAAACTGGATTTTGGAGTTTTTCTTATAGACCAATGCACCTACCTTTCACTTTTTAAACTTTCGAGAGTGCTCTATACATTTTTTGAATGCCAGCCTTCAGTAACTGTAACAACTATTCAGTCATTTAGTGGCACGATGCTTAATCACCATGCTGCTAGTATGTGACCTTTTTGGCAAAGTTGCACATGGGTTAAAATAACAAAGTAAGTAAAGAATATCAGCCTTCTCAGTATTATCAAGTATAGTTCCAGATATGTCAGGCTTGTGACAAGTGTTGTCTTGAAAATGACAATTCCCCTGTATATGTCATAAAAAAATGCCAAATTATATAATAAGTGTCTGGAGGTTCTAGTCCTTATCGAAACCTCAAATTATGCATAATTTTCTCCTATTATAGCTATATTCCAGAGTGAGTGGTACCAAGTGCTCACTGAAAAAAATTGGGCTGTTTTCCATTGAGTTGCAATTACCATTTGTGCTGCCAAGATCATATATAAGGCCAATTATTTTAAATCTTCCATACTTCAGGATGCATTTTGTCAAAACTACAATTGCATGTGGCATGTTTTTCCAAAGGAGTTATGGGCTGGCTTTGTCTTACTACATAATTCTTTAAAACACGCTTACCTTTCCTTCCCTTAAGAAGCCCCAATGCAACCTGCTAATGTAAACTGAAGCAATCACTTGTCAAACTTTTTAAAATGGTTAACTACAGTGGTGCCTCGCAAGACGAAAAGAATCCGTTCCGCGATTCTCTTCATCTAGCGGTTTTTTCGTCTTGCGAAGCAACCCCATTAGCGGCTAAGCGGATTAGCGCTATTAGCGGCTTAGCGGCTATTAAAGGATTAGCGGCTAAGCTGCTAAAAGGCTATTAACGGCTTAGCGGCTTAGAAAAGGGGGGGGAAGCGGGGAAGAAATGGCAAGACTCACAAGACATTTTCATCTTGCGAAGCAAGCCCATAGGGAAATTCGTCTTGCGAAGCACCTCCAAAACGGAAAACCCTTTCGTCTAGCGGGTTTTCCGTCTTGCGAGGCATTCGTCTTGCGGGGCACCACTGTATTATTAAGTCCAATAAGCCACCCATACAGTGTTTAAACAGCCTAGAAACACAAGCAGCCATTTGAAAATAATTTAACCACAACAATTACGCACAGTACAATTGCATCTTACGTGGAGGCTCAATTCCTAGGGTTCCACATATACTCAAAAATTGTATATGCCCAAGCCCTTTGAACCCTTACCCCCACAAGCACATAGTGACCCAAGTGGACCTGGCAGAAAAATAGCTTTTAAACTCTCTTCCTTGCTTGGAGGGCAAGGGCTACTTAGTGCACTAACTCCAGCAGGCTAAAGATGCTTGCACAAAATCTCGTAGGAACTCTGATGTCCCCACGAGATCTCGCAAGAGCATCATCCCAGAACCAATGTGCCAAGAGGGCCTTACCCCACAAGCAAGGGGGAGAGCTTAAAATCTGTGCTTGGAAACTCCCAAGTGGACGCAGCACTAAAAGCGCTTTAAAGCTCTCTGCCCTTGCTTGCATGTAACTTGCTAAGTTTCAACCAGGCAGCCTTCAACTACGTGAGGTTGAAATCACACAAGTTAAATATGCACAAGTACAGTCATATCTTGGTTTTCGAACAGCTTAGTTCTCGAACGTTTTGGCTCCCGAACACCGCAAACCTGGAAGTGACTGTTCCTGTTTGCAAACTATTTTTGGAAGCCGAACAGCCAATGGGATTTCCTGTTGCCTGCAGGAGCTTCCTGCAGCCAGTCAGAAGCCGTGCTTTGGTTTCCAAACATTTTGGAAGTCGAATGGACTTTTGGAACGGATTCTGATCGATTTCCAAGGTACAACTGTACAGTGGATGCTCGGGTTGCGAACATGATCCATACAGGAGGCACGTTCGCAACCCGTGACCCACGCGTCTGCGCATGCATGGGTCGCAATTCGGCGCTTCTGCGCAAGCGCCGAAACCCGGAAGTAACCCGTTCCGGTACTTCCGGGTTCGGCACGGTGCACAACACGAAATCGCGCAACCCAAAGTATCTGTAACCCAAGGTATGGCTGTACTTCGAAAAGGGACCAACCCTTTATAGCCCAAAAGCCTTCCTGAAAAGGAAGATTATGTTCATCCCATGGAAGACCGCTAGAGGGGGCAAGATGAGTGTCCCTTGTGGAGGAATTGCAGAGCCACTCACAGAGAAGCAACCAGGCCGAAGCCCCACTCTCCTTGGTCCCAACTAAACATATCTCTGGGGCGGTTGATACTAACAGCAGGGCCTCTGACACTCGTCAGCAGGTGGGCAGGTCCACACAGGAAAAGGTCATCCTTCGGAAATTCTGGTCCCAAATCATAAAAGGCTTTCAAAGTCATCGCCAGCACTTTGAATTAGGCCCAGAAGCAACTTGGGAAGCGAGCTTGGCTGTGTCAGTAAGGCGGCGGCACGCTTTGTCTAGGCAGCCCCTCTTCAGCAGCCTGGCCGCGGCATTGTGGGACAATTGTAGCCTCTGAGCCCTTTTCAAAGGCAGCCATACGTAGGGAACTCTTTGTAGTAACCTAAACATAAATGGGTGGTATTCAACTAAGTTTTGCTCAAGTGTATAGATCCACCGAAATTAATGAACATGATTAAGTGAGGTCCATGAATGTCGGTGGGTCGGAGGTTAGTTGAATACTAACCAATGTATTTATGCGTCAGCCTGAGCAAGTCTTTCCTCAAGAAACTTGCTTTGAGGTTACTGTAGGTAGATAGAGTAACTTCTGGCTAATGACAGAGAAGTGGACATTTGACCTCAGAAGGGTCTGGATCTTTCCAGAGCCAGATGTTTCCCCCCTCACCATTTCCTTTCCAAGCGCATTCCATATGTGGTGTGGGGTCCTCAACATATAGCAAGTAGCATGTGCATGCCTGTGTAAAAAGGTAAAGGGGCCCCTGACCATTAGGTCCAGTCGTGGCTGACTCTGGGGTTGCGGTGCTCGTCTCGCTTTACTGGCTGAGAGAGCTGGCGTACAGCTTCCGGGTCATGTAGCCAGCATGACTAAGCCGCTTCTGGCGAACCAGAGCAACGCACGGAAACGCCGTTTACCTTCCCGCCGGAGCGGTACCTATTTATCTACTTGCACTTTGACTACTTTCAAACTGCTAGGTTGGCAGGAGCAGGGACCGAGCAACGGGAGCTCACCCCGTTGCGGGGATTCGAACCGCCGACCTTCTGATCGGCAGGTCCTCGGCTCTTGTGGTTTAACCCACAGCGCCACCCGCGTCCCGAATGCCTGTGTAGAAATTACAATAAATGTCCCACTTACTCCTTGGTTTGATATTATGTAGTCACCAGGGACACCCAACAGGCACAGCTATAGAAGCATAGAATTGCAGAGAGGGAATGGACATCAAGGGCTATCTAGTCCAAGCCCCTGTGGTGGCTTTTCTGTGTTGCTGCAGCAGGGGGGGAGGTTGTTTCAGAAGGTCAGCTTCAGGAGATGCTTTATTTATCAGTTTTTGGCTCCTGTCTTTGCCATTCTGCTTTATCTGGATGTTTCCATGTCTTTCAGGGAACTACGTGCTCAACTACCTTGCCACCAGACCCAAGCTGGCAACTTTCGTTACGCAGGCACTAATTCAGCTCTACGCCAGGATCACAAAGCTGGGCTGGTTTGACTGTCAGAAAGATGAATATGTTTTCAGAAACGTCATCACTGACGTCACAAGGTTTTTACAGGTTGGCCGTTTCCTCCACCCCACCCATCCCACTTGGCGTATGTAGTGGTTCAACCAAGAGGCTTCCCAGGATGCCATCAGACAGTCGCCACCAACCTAATGCTCTCTAGCTGTTTTGGACTGTAATTCCCAGCCAGCAAGGCCATTTGGCACTGGGGCTGATGGAAAACCCTTCAAGGTGGTTTGCGACAATAAATTAAAATAATGAAACACAGTAATAGAGAGTACCCAAAATATTAAAACCAAAAACCACCAATGCACAGTACAGAATCACTTCTGCCCAAGGGATCTTAATTGTCTGTGTGTGTGTGTGTGTGTGTGTGTGTGTGTGCAGTAACATTGTCATCTTGCTGCTTTGACCTTCCTTGTCATTCAATCTGACTCTGCCTGTTCCTTCTCCAGGACAGTGTAGAACACTGCATCATAGGAGTGACAATCCTGTCTCAGCTAACAAATGAAATTAATCAAGTAAGTGCCTCAGCCTTCGCCAGTAAACTCATTGTCAACGCTTCTCCTTTGGATTGCTGCTGTATGTTATGCACCGATTTCATGTCCTTTGGTGGTAAGAAATTGAGCACTCCAGAGATTAGTCTCTGCTGTCTCAGGCTTCGTTTACACCTCTTCCCTATCCAGAGACTCAGAAGGGCACTGCTTTCTATGAAAAGCATTAATTGATGGTGACCCAGAGTTCTTCCTCAGCCAAAAGTCCTCATTTCTTCAGTAAGAATGGCAAAGCCACTCTTTGCAAAATTGCAGATAATCACCCTCTTCCTCCAGCTTCTCCTTTCCCAGCATGCCCCATGCAAAGGAGACAGTCAACCTCAGTCGGGAAACTTGGGCATTGCCTGAATGCTGCCAGGCTGTGTCAGTTTTGTTTTTCAGAACTGTAAATCATTGAACGGACTTCTAAGTTCTTAGCTGGTATTCCTGCATTGCAGGCTGTTAGACTAGATGGCATTTGGGTTCCCTTCAAACCCTTGAGTTCTATGAAATTAGTGCTCTAGGTCAGTGTTTCCCAACTTTTTTGGGCAAAGGCACACTTGTTTCATGAAAAAAATCTCGAGGCACACCACCATGCCAGATGGGGAAAGGTCACTTTTTACTTATGTAAAAAAAATAAAAAAATAGTAACAGCATAGAAGGTATTGGTAGATGACTGTTAGGGTCTCCCCCCAAATGCAGAATTCTATTAATATCTTCCTTAGCGAGCCGCGTTAACCCCTGTAATGCTTTCTATAGAGTAAGCATAGGGGACACTGGGGGATGTGGAACCAAGGGGGCAGTGGGCCAAAAGAGTTCGGGATCTACTGCTTTAAACAGAAATAAGAGCCAGTGGGTTCTTCCTTTTTTAAAGTATCGTTTCAGCGGGGACAGCAGTCCGGATTTCCAAAAAGCGGCGCTTTTTTGCGTCTGAGCAAAGAAGAGAGAGAGGGGAAAAAGAAAGAGAGATTGATTTGTGGCTGCGCAAAGGGGGGAGGAGCCCAGGAGTAAAAGTAGGAAGGATGAAGGGAGGGGAAAGGAAAGTTAATAGAAGGAAAGGCGGGTGGGAGAGAAAGAGAAAGAAAGAGGGAAGGAAGGGGGGAAGAGAAGTGGAAAGGAGGGAGACCGAGGCGGGGGAGAAGCGTCTGGAGAGTTGCTCCGAAGTTTGGGGGGCCGCGGGGGTGGGCGCGCGTCCCAGGAGGCGGAGGCCAGCCCGGGCTGGGAGCCGCGCCGCGGCCCGGGGGCGGTAGGCGGACCGCGGCTCCTAGGATGTGGAAAGGGGACGGCGGCGCAGGGGGAGGAGACCCGCATGGCTAGGGCAGCGCGCAGGGGAGGGGAGCGGGCCGGAGGCGGGCGAGGGGGGCCGCGATCCTGCGCGCCGCGAACATGGCCTCCTTCCCCACGGGCCCCGCCGAGCCCCCGGCCGGGGAGGGCGGCGCGCCCCCGCCGCCGGAGGAGAGCAGAGGCAGGAGGAGGAGGACGAAGGTGCTGCCGAGGAGGCGCGCCAACTTCTGCCAACTTCGGCGCCCGCCCCGTCGCCGCAGGCTCCTCCCGGCCGAGAGCCAGAGGACGGCGGCGGAGCAGGAGGAGGAGGATCGGGTTTGGCGACGGCTGCTGCGTCCTCTCCAAGCGCGGGGCTGGCCTCCGCCGCGCCCGATCCTCCGCGCTCGCCGCGCTTCTCGGCGGAGCAGGTCTCGTGCGGGTGCGAGGCGCTGCTGCAGGCGGGCGACCCCGGCCAGCTGGGCCGCTTCCTGGGCTCGCTGCCGCCCGACGCCGAGGCGCCGTGCCTGGAGGCGCAGGCGGGCGAGAGCCTGGCCAAGGCGCGCGCGCTGCTGGCCTTCCAGCGCGGCGACTTCGCCGAGCTCTACCGCCTGGTGCAGAGCCGGCGATGGGATGTGGGAGGGAGCTCGCTCGCCGCCCCGCGTGTGCCTATGTGGGGCACGTTACAGCCCCGTGACGTCAGCGCCACGCAGGCAGCCAGGCAGGCAGACGGCGAGAGCCCCGCGCTGGGCGGCCTCTCCTCGCCGCCGCCGCCCCGCCTCTCGCCGCCCGACTCGCCCGCCTCCCTCCCACGGCACACCAGGCAACGTCTCGCGGCACACTAGTGTGCCGCGGAACACCGGTTGGGAAACACTGCTCTAGGTGGTTAGCATGCTTTATTTACTGGCAGAGGGCAGTATATGGGGTGTTCTGCTGTTTTGTGTTTTTCCTTTATTGAGATGGTTAGTTTGACTCTGCACTCTTTAACAGACACTTGAGTTCTAATGATCTCTTTTTCTCTCTCTCTGTCTCTCCTTCCCTGCTCCCCACCCCACCCAGGCAGACACTACACACCCACTGACCAAGCACAGGAAAATAGCCTCTTCATTCCGAGATTCATCTTTGTTTGATATTTTCACTCTCTCGTGCAATTTACTAAAACAGGTGATGTGAGAACAACATTTGGGGGGGTGGAACTTTGGACAGTGTTTTCTTCTAGCTGTGGGTTTAGGACCCTGAGATTGCTTCTGTGAAGAATGCTGTATCAAGCAAGTGCCTGTGTGGTTTTAAATTAGCTGAGCTGTATTGACGAGAAATTTAGCTGTCCTGAAAAGGGAACTAAATAATAATAATAATAATAATAATAATAATAGTAATAATAATACCTTTATTTCTAATGTACAACCTGTGTACAATGAAATTAACCGAGCCTCCCTCCCCCCCACAAACACTCAATCTCATTGCACTCTGTGTGCTTGTCGCACAACACACCAACCCTGAAAGTCAGTTGCACTATATTATTTTCCGTTCAGCAGCCCACGGATAGAAACTGTTTTTTAGCCTGTTGGTACGACTGATTATACTTCCATATCTCCTGCCCGAGGGTAGAAGATTAAAGAGGTGCTGGCCAGGGTATGAATTGTCCTGAGAATTTTTCTCGCTCTCCTAAGGCAACGATCCCTTGTGATGTCATCTAGCGGGCTCAGGGAACAGCCCATGATATCATATGCTGTCTTCACCACCCTCTGTAAAGACTTTCTGTCCGTGGTTGTCAAGCCAGCATACCACACTGTGATACAATGTGAGAGGAGAAGAAGCAGTGTTGGGTTCAAATCCCAACTCGGCCATGAAGCTCACTGGGTGACTTTGGGCCAATCATACACTCTGAGCCTCGCCTAACTCACTAGCTTGTTGTGGGGGTTAAATGAGGAAGGGGAGAATCGTGTACATCACCTTGGAGAAAAATGTGATGTGTGAATGCAGTACAGTGGTACCTCAGGTTAAGCACTTAATTTGTTCTGGAGATCTGTTCTTAACCTGAAACTATTCTTAACCTGAGGTACCACTTTAGCTAATGGGGCCTTGCGCTGCTGCCGTGCGATTTCTGTTCTCATCCTGAAGCAAAGTTCTTAACCCGAGGTACTATTTCTGGGTTAGCGGAGTCTGTAACCTGAAGCGTCTGTAACCCAAGGTACCACTGTAAATAACAAAAGTAAAGCAGCAGAAAATTGAGGGTAGGCACTGAATAAAAGTCATGCCCTTTTACATGGTTTTGTATGTTTTGTAGTATTTTATGCACTGAGACTTGCCGTTATCTTTATTATAGATTAGTAATTCTTTATTGTAATTGATAAGTGTAATCTGTCTATTATTTGCTGATGTTTAATTTTACTGTTTACTATTAAATTCTAATAGGTTATTGACTATTGCTTTATTTAAGTTGTTTATTTTAAAGTTATTGTGACTTTTTATATTGGATCAGATTGTTATTATTAGTGTTCAGTGTTTTATTATGTTTTTATATGTGTTGGATATAAAACCCAACCAGATGGGCAGGGTATAAATAAATAAAAACATCATTATTATTTATTAAAACCGAGCTCCACAGGAAATAAAGCTCCACTTTTTCTTTTACTGTAAGATTGGGGCATTCCAGCGTTTCTGGTAGGGGAGCCCTGAGATGAAACCTTTTTGCTTTCCCACTCCAGGATTCCCTTTGCCTTTAGGCTTGGCAGCTGTCTTGAACTCTGCCCATTAACAGATGTGGTTTTCCATTCTATTTTTCTTCTTCTGGTAGGCTTCAGGGAAAAACCTGAACCTGAACGATGAAAGCCAGCATGGCCTCCTCATGCAGCTTCTCAAGCTCACACACAACTGCCTAAACTTCGACTTCATTGGTACATCCACAGATGAGTCCTCAGATGACCTTTGCACCGTGCAGATCCCCACCAGCTGGAGATCAGGTAAAGCGCCTTTCTTCCCTGGCTCTGGCCCAGCTGTGAGAATCCTTGGGAAGTGAGCTGTGTGAGGGGAACTTGATCAGTAGCAGGTGTGACTTTGCAAGCTGTGCGCAGTCTTCCCATCCTCTCTGAGTGACCAGAGTGCTGACAGATCCCCAATTCAAGTATTCCTGTGCTAGGGCTGTTGAGAGTTGTACAGTGGTACCTCGGGTTAAGAACTTAATTCGTTCTGGAGGCCTGTTCTTAACCTGAAACTGTTCTTAACCTGAAGCACCACTTTAGCTAATGGGGCCTCCAGCTGTCGCCGCGCCACCGGAGCATGATTTCTTTTCTCACCCTGAAGCAAAGTTCGTAACCCAAGGTACCACTGTAGTCCAAAACTTCCAGAGGGCACCAAGTTGGCACAAGTGAAGTGCTTTGAATGCTCCACGCTGTAGCTTGTATGGATAAAGATGAGTTGTAAAATGTCTAGAAATTGGTGCCTGACTTTTGATTTTTTAAAATACAGTCATACCTCGGTTTGAAGTTGCTTCAGGTTGAGTACTTTTGGATTGCGCTCCACGGCGACCCAGAAGTAACAGAATGCGTTACTTCCGGGTTTCATCTCTCGCGCATGCACAGACAGTCAGAATGACGCCACGCACATGCGCGGAAGCAGCGACGCGCAGACACGGGTTGCGTTTACTTCAGGATGCGAACGGGGCTCTGGAACAGATCCCGTTCGTATCCAGAGGTACCACTGTACTTACTTTCATCTTCCCTCCCTGTCCCCTTTCCCTTGCATGTGGTGAACGAATGGGTGTTTAGTTTAGACTTTACCATCCTGGTGCCTCAGTTTTGGACTGAAACTCGCATTGGTCGCAACTAGCCAGTGGTGTAGTGGGGGCAGTGTTGGGAGCACAGCCCCACATGCTGGGGTTGATGGGAGTTGTAGTCCAAAACTTATTGAATGCACCAGGTTGAAGAAGGCTGGTTTAGTAGAAGCTTTGAAAACAAGAAGCATAAGACGGCACTTTTACACAAGGCTGTACTTGATAGTTGCTGCTCGGTTCATGCCAATTAAAAAAATTATCTCCAGAATGACTGCCTCCCTCAATGGGGAACCAGCATGGGGTGGGGGGAATCTTTCAGCAGAAACTTTCTGCAAATAACATTGGTTTTCTTTTTGTTGTTGTCTTAGAAAGAAAACAGTTTGCTTCTGCATGCTAGGTTCATTCAACAGCAGCGGCTGCATATTAGAGAATTTTCTTAATGTTTGTACAGTGGTACCTCTGGCTGTGAACGGAATCCGTTCTGGAGGCCCGTTTGCAACATGAAAAGCCCGCAACTTGAAGCGCTGTGTCTGCGCAGGTGTGCGGCGTGATTTAGTGCTACTGTGCATGCACAAAGTGCAATTTAGTGCTACTGCGCATGCACGAGCAGTGAAACCTGGAAGTAACCCATTCCAGTACTTCTGGGTCGCTGCGGGACGCAACCTGAAAAACGTAACATGAAGCAAACATTACATGAGGTATGACTGTATTGAAGTCTGAAAGCTCTGTGCTTCCAGTCTCAGCTCTGGGTGGGCGGTGATGTTTAAAATTTCTATACCGTCTTCATCTGAGGATCACAGGGTGGTTTACAATAGAAAAACACAGAAATACACACCACAGTAACAAACCAAAAACACGCACAGTTTAAAAGGCCATGGTTTGTTTAATTAGGCAAAGGTCTGGGAGTAGAGGAATGTTTTTGCCTGAAGAGATGTAACAAAGGTGGCAGGCGAGCTTCCCTAGGGAAAGCATGCCATACGCAGGGAAGTTATATGTGACATGAGAAGGACCACTCAAGGATCTCCTGGGGTCTTTCAGCATCTTTAAAAGCCGTTGAGAGTGGGGATTAGGGCCATGATTCTGTAGATTGGCCTCCAGTTTTAGAATCATAGAGTTGGAAGGGACCATGAGGGCCATCTAGTCCAACACCCTGTAATGCAGGAATCTTATAATGATCATAATGATGATGAAAAACCCGTCAGCGCCAAGGGTGTTGGTAGGGATGCTGCGCTGAGCAAAGTTGAAGGCCTGAGATAGTCACGAGTGCTGGTTGAACCACTTTGCCAGAGTTCGGGTATCGACAGTGATGTGTTGTTTGTTTCTTCCAGCCTTTCTAGATTCCTCAACTTTACAGCTGTTTTTTGACCTGTACCATTCCATCCCTCCTACGTTTTCACCTCTGGTGAGTGTGGCATTCCTGACTCAGTGGGCAGGGGCATACATTCCAGGGGCATACATCCCCTTGAGAAGATTCACAGGGTGGATTTGATCACCCTGTTGGGAGGTCAGGAGGAAGTTTTTCTCCCTCCCTCCCTCTGCAAAATGGTTACCTGCTTGTTTGCATTGTCTTTCCACAACCTATATGCCAATGCAAGTATGTATTTGGTTTATATTTTATCCCAGACAACTTACGGTTCTCCCTTTTATTCACCCTCCTGCCTTTAGGTCTTATCGTGTCTAGTGCAAATCGCCTCTGTACGTAGGTCCCTATTTAACAATGCAGAAAGAGCGAAGTTCCTGTCTCATCTCGTTGATGGTGTCAAGCGAATACTGGAAAACCCTCAGGTGAGTCTGTCAGAACTGTGGATGGGAGTTAACTGTGTGTGTGTGTGTGTGTGTGTGTGTGTGGTCACAAACTGTCTCTTGAAGCTTGGAAACAGTGGAGATCCAAAGGCCCATGGAACTGAGCAACAGGTGGTAAACGAGCTGGCAACCAGGGCAAAGCTTAAGAGGGTGAATAAACACAAAGCTTCATCGTACTTGTGGTTAACTTTGGGCAGGCAAAATCAGGGGAAATAAATAAGTGGCTGTGACTGAGAAAATGTCCCGGGATTGAGATCCGTCAGTAGGTGAGTGCTTCACACTGAAACCAGCCACATTATGTGCCAAAAGATTTTTCTGGCAAGTCTCTGTGCTGAGCTCTGCAGCCTATAGTGCACACACGTGTGTTTATTGCCGTGTTCACTCTTCGGTTTTTTAGTCGCTCCTTCTATATGCACTGACCATGCTCTGTTCTCATTGGACTGTTATTCCAGTTGTTGAAAACCACTGGAGAGGGAAGTGCTCTTGCACAGGTTTCCGATTGGAACATCTGGTTGGCCATTGTGAAAAGAGGATGCTGGACTAGATGGGCCTTTGGCCCAACCCAGCAGTATCTTCATCTGTTTCCTCCCACCACATCCCGTTGTGCCCCCCCCCCACTTCTGCAAACCTTTCCCCTCAGTTGCTGACTCCTTCTTGTGTGTGGACTGTGCCTTTTGTGGTAGGTAAAGGCAGGAACTTGGAGCAAGGTCTCTCTTTGTATATCTGTTTGTTCTGCTAGATAATAAGAAGCTACAAAGAGATGCAAGTCACAAGAACCTCAGCCTACTCCAGGCTTCATAAATTTCACTCGCCTATTACCTGCCATTCTTGGTGCACAACAGGTTTGAGCGACATTTCTGTGCCCCATCTGAAGACAAGGGCAGCTGTTGACTCCGCACACTGTGCCAGGCTGGTTCACGGTGGTAGGATGCCCACCAACATTGCAGAGCGAGTCAGAGGTCTTAGGTGCTCAGTTATTTAGTGCCTGAACAATGAGTGTTGTGGATACTGTACTTGATGACAGCCCCTACCACCGGCAGTGTTGGGCTGCTGTTGCCTGGACTCTCAGGTAGACCCATTCATTGCATGCCACAGTGATGAGCCTTCACTAGTCCCCAGCCATGGGAGCAGACGTTTTTTGTGCTGTGCCGCACTTTTATGTTGTGAGCCCTGTGATCTTCAGATGGAGGGTGGGATACAAATTAAATAAATAATCAATCAATCCAGTTTACTGATTAGTCTGCCATGACCCATTTCGAAATTTGTTCCTTTCCCAGAGCTTGTCAGACCCAAACAACTACCATGAGTTCTGTCGACTTCTGGCCCGCCTGAAAAGCAATTACCAGCTCGGGGAGCTGGTGAAAGTGGAAAATTACCCTGAGGTCATCCGCCTCATTGCCAACTTCACAGTGACCAGCTTGCAGGTGAGAAGCTGCGTGGTTTGGCACTGTGTGCGTGTGTGTTGCGGAGGGAGGGTTTTCAGCAGGGGGAGAGCACCCAAAATCGCACTGCAACCTTTGACCTCGTTAGGTTGAAACTGAGAGGGGAGTGGTGGGCTCCCCTCTCAGAGTCACCTGCTGTGGGTATATAAGGTGCTTAAGGTACCAGCCTTCTAGTAATATTCTGCCCCCTGTCATTACGCAGAATTGCCTTGGTTTGTTCCTCGCTGCACAGCATTTTAGCTCATTAAGAGCAGAAAACACTTCCAGCCGTTCAGACCACAGCAAGGCAAAGCGTACCGTCTGTCAGGGCCACCAGTCTTCGAAACATCTCCTCTCCCCATGTGTGGGAAGTGTACTGACGTTAGGTAGCCTGCACGTGAGGGAATTTAGAAAGTGTGTGAAAGGATATTGTTAGGAGAATCTGCTTCCTATATGTTTCTGTAATGTTTGTGGGGTGGGGATCTCAGCCTTGGACCGGTTTGATAGAAAGTAGACACTGAATTCTTCTTGCTTAACCAGGCATCCAGCTCTGATAATGCAGGCAGGCTTTTCCTCTGAGAATGTGACTTGATTTCTGCGCATGTGTAAAGCTAAGGTGAGGGAGTGCCTCTGTATAAGCTACTCTTGTTCTGACCAAATAAAGGCTATCGTAAACGTTGCAACTGGAGTGGTGAATAGAAGAAAATCCGCTACCTTGGCCAGCGTGGCAGAATCTTGTTTAATTTTATGAAAATGGAGGAGCTTCCTTTGTTGTATTCAGGTGCTGAGATGCACAACACCCCCCCCAAAAAAAAATAAGGATGTTCAAGGTCCCAAGTACAGACTTTAGGTTCCCCTTTAGAAGCATACAGGTGTCCAAACAGATCTGCACTGTGCTGCTTACTCTACTTACAAATGCTGACGGCTGTTTGCTTGAATGGCTCCCATGTCCTTAAGCCCAAAGGCTGGGGGTCGGGGTGGGGGACGCTGGCCAGCCCGCAAGTGGCATTCCGTTTCCTCCCCTTTGTTCCTGCAGCACTGGGAATTTGCTCCGAACAGCGTTCACTATCTCCTGAGCCTGTGGCAGCGCCTGGCAGCGTCGGTTCCTTACGTCAAAGCCACAGAGCCACACATGCTGGAGACTTACACGCCTGAAGTCACCAAAGCTTACATCACCTCCAGGCTGGAGTCTGTGCACATCATACTGAGGTAAAGAGGCCAAGGGAAAAGTGGTACTCAAGGAGTGGAGGGAGAACAGCCTGGGCAAGCCCTTTTTGGTACCTAAACAGTTCAGGACCCAGTTATCTGAAGGACCCCTGTACCCATACGTACCTACCCAAGCTATAAGCTTGGTCCTGCGGCTGCTGTCCAGTGCACTGGTAAAAACTGATAGGTTGGTGAGTACCAGCAGCAGCGCCTTTTTTGTGGTGGCCCCCTAACCCTACAACATCCTTCCCAGGGAAATACACATGATCCCCCTCCCCCTCTCATAGGCCTCTTTTCATTCTGGTCTATGTTGGGGTGATTTTAGGGTTGCTGTGCTTTAAGAACTTGGTTTTATCTGCTGCATCTGTTTGTTTGCTTTTTTTAAATGCTTTACAACTTTGGGGATTTTAATACTGATCGGTTGTCGTGGGAGTTCTTACCCACACAAAAATGTGCTGTGTTTATTTATTTACTTATCAGTCTTATTTGTAGCCCCCTCTTTATTTGAATGTTCTCAGTCCCGGAGTGGGAAGCAAAGTAAAAAAAAAATTAAAAACCATAGAAAAATGATATTGAAAAAATTCAAAATCATATCAACACGACCAATAAACAACTAAACAATTCTATCATAAGGTAAACAGGTAAAATTGCATCAGCATAAATGAATGACTGAATGAATATTTCCAGTTTAACAAAATGTGGGCCTCAGGCTCAACAGAGCTGCAAGGTAGTGATTTACAGGTGGATTTGCTGGCCTCCTCCAGAGAGTTGCCACAAAACAACAGCATAGTGGGCCTTGCCTTACAGCCTAGAGGTGAGAACTGAGGTGCGTTCTTTGGGAAACAAGCTTGGTCCACCTTCTGGGAGCCGCGTTTCACTCTCTCTCCCTGACTTGCTGCTTGCTCCCCATGCAGAGACGGCTTGGAAGATCCGCTGGACGACACGGGCCTGGTGCAGCAGCAGCTAGACCAGCTGTCCACTATCGGGCGCTGTGAATATGAGAAGACGTGTGCTCTCCTTGTGCAGCTGTTTGACCAGTCAGCTCAGTCCTACCAGGAGCTGCTGCAGAGTGCGACGGCCATCCCTGTGGATGTGGCTGTGCAGGAAGGTGAGGGCCCAGAGATCAGCTGCATCACTCCTGTCCATCACAGCAAAGAAGATTTCGGGGAAAGGGGTTGTATAGGTTGCTGCTGCTCCTTCACCCTTTAGCCAACCCAGTGTACTTTAAGATTGTGACCCTTTGTGTATATTTTAATTAGTTTGTCATGGGTATTTGCTGTGAATTTTTCAGGTTGTAAACCGCTTTGAACAGATCATGGAAAAGGGGACATAAATTGCTCTCCTCTAGAGATTTTGTCAGCAAAGCAGATACGGCAGGAAGGGACTCTGTTTTGCTGCCCTATCTTGCATCATTTGCTGCAAATTACAGTATGTGTTGCAGTAATGGAGCAGTGGAAATGGCAAAGGACTTTGGGACAGTAAGAGAGTAGGTGGCAAGTTTCAACTTAAGAGAAAAATATCAGAAGAAAGGGGCATTAGAACCTATTAGATGCTGGTTGAAACTGCTGAGGTTAAATAAAAAAGAATAGCATTTGTTCAAAGGTTGGCTGTGGTTAGGAGGCAGAAGAAATTAAAGTGCTGGCATAATCTGCTATTTAAAACCAATAATAATAATAATAATTTATTATTTATACCCCACCCATCTGGCTGGATTTCCCCAGCCACTCTGGCCGGCTTCCAACAAAACACTAAAATACAATAACCTATTAAACATTAAAAGCTTCCCTAAACAGGGCTGCCTTCAGATGTCTTCTAAAAGTTTGGTAGTTATTTTTCTCTTTGACGTCTGGTGGCAGGGCGTTCCACAGGGCAGGTGCCACTACCGAGAAGGCCCTCTGCCTGGTTCCCTGTAACTTGGCTTCTCGCAGCGAGGGAACCGCCAGAAGGCCCTCGGCGCTGGACCTCAGTGTCCGGGCAGAACGATGGGGGTGGAGACGCTCCTTCAGGCATACTGGACCGAGGCCGTTTAATAATAATAATAATAATAATAATAATAATAATAATTTTTTATTTATACCCCGCCCTCCCCAGCCAAGGCCGAGCTCAGAGCGGCTTACAAGCAATAATAAAAACAAGATGAATGATTACAACTTAAAAACAAAAATAAAATACAACATTAAAATAATGGAACATTAAAATATTAAAATGTAGCCTCATTGCAGGAGGAGAAGGAAAAGAAAAAAGAAAGAGAGGGAGGGAGGGGATCAAATTGGCTCCAAGCCAAAGGCCAGGCGGAACAACTCTGTCTTACAGGCCCTGCGGAAAGAAATCAGATCCTGTAGGGCCCTGGTCTCATGAGGCAGAGCGTTCCACCAGGCCGGAGCCAGAGTTGAAAAGGCCCTGGCTCTGGTTGAAGCCAATCTAACTTCCTTAGGGCCTGGGACCACTAGGGTGTTGTTATTTATGGACCTTGAGGCTCTCCGTGGGGCATACCAGGAGAGGCGGTCCCATAGGTACGAGGGTCCTAGGCCGTGAAGGGCTTTAAAGGTCAAAAGCAGCACCTTAAATCTGACCCTGTACTCCACCGGGAACCAGTGCAGCTTGAAAAGCACTGGGTGAATATGCTCCCATGGCAAGGACTCCGTGAGGAGCCTCGCTGCAGCATTCTGTACCCGCTGGAGTTTCTGGGACAGCTTCAAGGGCAGCCCCGCGTAGAGCGAATTACAGTAGTCAAGCCTGGAGATGACCGTCGCATGGATCACTGTGGCCAGGTCGGGGCGGGAAAGGTAAGGGACCAACTGCTTGATGCGGCGAAGGTGGGAAAATGTCGCCTTGGCTGTTGCTGTAACTTGCGCCTCCATGGAAAGGGAGGCGTCAAGGATTACACCCAAACTAACGGGAGGCAATGGCACTAATTGGGCCCCCGCAAGAGAAGGGAGTTGGTCCCTCATCCCCATGCCATTCCGACCCAGCCATAGGACCTCTGTCTTCGAAGGATTTAGTTTCAGTCGGCTCCCACAAAACCATCCAGCCACAGCTTCCAAGCATCTGGTCAGTGTGTTTGGGGCCGAGTCGGTGTGGCCATCCATCAGCAGATAGAGCTGAGTGTCATCAGCATATTGGTGACAGCCCAGCCCAAAGCTCCGGATAATCTGGGCAAGGGGGCACATAAAGATGTTAAAAAGCATCGGGGAGAGAATTGCGCCCTGCGGCACTCCACACACCAAGGAGTGGCGCGACGACATTTCCTTAAATACCCTCACTGGGCGGAGAGAATGGAACCACCATAGGGTATCCTTTATCTCCATGAGTCGAGATGGGAGGGTTGATGACCTAAAGGTCATAAATAGGCGCATGGTGTTTCTCAAGGTAGGCAGGAAGTGGAAATTTTCTAGATCTACATTTTGGTAATGGTAATTCAGGAGCTGAGACAAGGACATAGTAATTTGTCTGCGGTTCATCCACCTATGAGTGTATTGGTGAATCTCAAGCATTATCTGGTTCGTTTGCAAGACTTGACAGGACCTCACTTCATCCATAGATTGAGTTGGTGAGTTGTTAACAGAGTCATTTCTTATCATCCTTTTAAGCCCTTGGGCATTTAAAGGGGAGGAACTAGTATCCAATTGTTTCTCAATGTTAACTATTCTGGTGAGGATTTCATCCAGTCTTTGGAGAACCAGAACCATAGTTTCTGCAGACAACATGCAAATCTCTTGGTAGGGGTGCGTATCCCGAATTGGTTGAAAGCAGGCTCCTCTGATATCTTGTTCTAGAGGCATGGGTGGGTCAGCGTTAGGAGTGGGAGGAATCGCTCCTGCTCTTACCCTCTTGGACGGATTAGCTTTCTCTGGGAGGAGGGGGGTCGGGTCATTGACATCCTCCTTAAGGGGGGGTGAGGTTCCCCCAACGTTGTTACTCACTGTTTGTTCTATTTGCTCCGTTTTCTCGGTTTCCTCAACCCGCTCTGTTTCTGAGCCAGGGCAGATGGCGTTGGCTCTCTGCCGATTCTTTGTTTTAGAGGAATTTTGAGTCCCAATAATGCTCTTCTGGCTCTTTGCACCTCGTTTTCTCCTTCCGGCAGGCATTCTCAATAAGGAAGTGACAGTTGGAGGAGTGTCACTCCAATGAGGAGTGACAGTTGGAGAACTAGGCCTCAAACCTTCCGGCCTAAAAGAGCAGGTTTTAGCAGGGAAAGCCACACCTCTCCTTGAACACACTCAGAGGTGGATATTTAAAGCACAGCCTGGAAAGAACAGGGCAAAATTTAAGTGTGGATAAGCCCTTAGATTTAAAAAGAAGGAGATGTTCCTGCCTCTCTCATGGCATTCAACCCTTCTGGGCTGCCCTCGGAATCGGAATGTTTAGGGCTTTAAAGGTCAGCACCAGCACTTTGAATTGTGCTCGGAAACGTACTGGGAGCCAGTGTAGGTCTAACTATAAGAACAGATCAGCAGCGCAACAGATTGTCAGGAAAACAGTAGAAACTCACTCCCCCCTCCTTTTTTTTCAGGAGTAGAGTGGTTGAGATATTTTTAGTATGGTCTGTAGATGCAAGGGAATCCTACCTTCCCCAGTTGTTGGACCTTGATCTTAGCTTTTCAGGGAAACACTTCTGTGGATCAGGACTCTTGCTCTTCTGGTTTCAGGACGTCTGACGTGGCTCGTCTATATCATTGGGGCTGTGATTGGTGGCCGAGTGTCTTTTGCCAGCACAGATGAGCAGGACGCAATGGACGGCGAGCTGGTTTGTCGGTAGGAGCCGTTGGATTCCTTAGCAGCCCTGGTTTCTTCATGCTGAAAACACTAGAATATGGAAAGGGCCATAATGAAGAGCTGTTATCTGGGATTGGTGGCTGGCTGGGTGGGTGGGAGAATTAGTGGCACAGCTCTGTGGTTGCTCTTACCTTCAGGGTTATCACGAGGGCTGTGTACTGCACAAGTTTGAACTCTGAGGAACGTCCATCCCAGAATTAGTGGAAGCAGAACAGATTATACAAATCTCCATCTTATTCCACAGAGACTGATTGCACATAGAGAGGTTCCTCTTGCCAAATACAAGTTGTGCATTCTGGGGTAAAACATAATTAGGAAAGTGTAGAAAAAGCTTCTAAAACAACAGAAAATGTTGGGTGAGAAGCATTTTGAACTTGACTGAATACTTAAAATTCCACACAGGTCAGGGATCCTTGAGAGTCTTTTAAGCCCTTGTAGTGGATTTCCTTCAATTAATCCACGCCAGTTGCGGCATCCATCTCTGATCATGCATGCATGCTTTTCCTCTGAGATTGTGACTTAATTTTTCTGCTTGTGTAGAGTTAATGCACAGGAATGCCACTAGATATGCCTGTGTTTACTCACAAGCCTTTGAATGCTGCTTTTGTGAATTCCCAATGGTTGCTGTTGTTGTGACCAAGTAAAAGCTGTTTTAAACATCACAACTGGAGTGGTTAATCAAAGAAAAATCACTGCACCCTCTTTGGCTCAATCCTACCTAAAATTTTGGGCAGTGCATTGAGTCATTTTCAGCCTGCAGAGAGCACAGAAGCCTGACTGAATATTCCCCCTGCCCATCAATACAATTCGTTCTTGCATGTGGACACCAGTGAACTGGAGCAAGTCCTGCGTCTCAGAGGCACCTTCCAGTGGTGACTGTCATGGCCGCAGGCTGCCTACCTGCCTGTGGCTGCACCTTCAGTCTGGTGTCCAGTGACGCATGCGCCTGCCCTACAGTTAGCCCCCTCTCCTAGTGTCGAAAGTTTGTGCAGAGTTCTGCAGCTCATGCTCTGAATGCCTGCGTTCATCTAACATGGGGTAACAAGAGGCACCTTTCCTCATGGCAGGGGCAATCTCAAACTTGCTGGCTAAGTACTGAGCCTCTGTGATGTTGCATGACCTTCAATCCCCCCCCCCCACTTGTTGCCTCTCTAGGGTTCTTCAGCTCATGAACCTAACCGACTCGCGCCTGGCTCAGGCCGGCAATGAGAAGCTGGAGCTTGCCATGCTGAGCTTCTTTGAGCAGTTCCGGAAGATCTACATCGGAGACCAGGTGCAGAAGTCTTCCAAGGTAAATGCCTCCTCGGCCTTCTAGTGGCTTTTATGTTGTCGGGCCTACCTGCTCTCATGGCATAATGAAAGGCTCCACCTGCGACGGCTTTTTGGTGAATTGCTGGCTGTTGGAAGTCGGCCACGGTTAAGGCTAGTGGCCAAAGCAGAAGTCAAATGTTTTCTTTGTACCCAAATCAAGAGGTGCAGGGTGCTTGGAGGAGTTCCAAGTGAATGCAGCTGCCTCCAAATGGGGAATACCTGGGTGAGGTCTGGGCTAGACAGAGGGCAGCATGGCTATGAAGCCTGAAAGAGCCTCCCCACAAGCAGCAGGAAAGAAAGCCTGAGCTCTATATAGCTATTGATGACTACTAGCCACAATAACTATGCTCTGCCTCCACAGTTAGGCCGAAACGCTTCTGAATACCAGTTGCTGGAAAGCACTGGAGGGGAGAGCAGCTCTTGTGCTCAAATCCTGCATAACTGCAGTGAGAACAGGATGCTGGACTAGATGGCCTGTTGCAGCAGGCTCTTCTTGTACAGTGGTACCTCGGAATGCGAATGGGATCCATTCCGGAGCCCCGTTCGCATCCTGAATAGAACGTAAGATGCGATGGTGCGCATGCGCGGGTCGCGTTTTGCTGCTTCCACGCATGCGCGTGACGTCATTTTGAGCATCTGCGCATGCGTGAGCGGCGAAACCTGGAAGTAACGTGCTCTGTTACTTCTGGGTTGCCGCGGAGCAATTACCGTATTTTTTGCACCATAACACTCACTTTTTTCCTCCTAGAAAGTAAGGGGAAATGTCTGTGCGTGTTATGGAGCGAATGCCTGCAGGTGGCGGGGGGGGGGGATCTACTGCAGTCGTGAACAGAGGATCCATGGTTCCCCTTCCTTCCCTCCTCCATGGCTCGCTTTGAAACAGCAAAGCGGGAGAAGAGCCGCTGAGTGGGGAGGAGAGAGGGACAGAGAGCCTGCTTGCTTTAAAGGAGCAAAGCGGGAGAGGAGAGGAGCCTTCTCCCTTTATACCCCTCTTCTTCATTATTAGCAGCATCCTTCTCCTTGTCCCTTGAGTGCTTTTCCTTCCCTCCCCACTTAAAACATGGTTACAAAGTACGGATCCACATGGATCCTCAGGATTTTTGCATTGGGCTACTCCAAACTCACTGTCAGATCACATGTCTGTGGCCACAGCATGAACCACAAAAATCATACATCCACTGTTTCGTTTAGAATTTTTTTCTTCTTGTTTTCCTCCTCTAAAAACTACTTGCGTGTTATGGTCGGGTGCGTGTTATAGAACGAAAAATACAGTAAATGAAATCTTCCATACCTGGGTAACGTAACTGAGAGAGCGGTTGCTGAACAGCGCTCAACCTGAAGCACATTCAACCCAAGATATGACTGTATTCTTAAATGATTCTAGGAGGCAGGTGCCATACTAAACAGCCATTGAGTGTTGTGTTTTCTTTTTCCTGACCTGCTAGGCTTCTGTTTCCTCCAGGCACCTGTGGTCTTAAAAGAAAAATAACAATTTCTACTGAAAGCCTCTAAGCTTGACTTTGTTTCCCGCTTCTAGCTATATCGGCGGCTCTCGGAGGTCCTCGGGCTGAATGATGAGACCATGGTCCTGAGTGTCTTCATAGGGAAAATGTAAGTGTTCTGACTCCTTGCCAGTTGCACTTGTCCATCATACATCTCTGAAGCCCTTGAGCCTCTGCTGGGGTGCTCAGAGAGTAGAGAAGGAACACCTCCCGGCTACAGGCCGAACCTTGGGCCTGAGTTTGGCTGATGGGCTGCTCCAGAGATGCACCTGTCGTCGTCCTCCTCCTCTAGACCTTCCCCCACATGAGATTTCTCCTCCTAGCAGTAGTTTTCCCTGGAGAGGAACTCACCTGCCTAGGCAGGAGTGAAAAGGCATGCTCTGTTTTGCACGCCAGCCACCTTCCAAGGCAGGACTGTTCTGCCCTTGCCCACCCCCTGCTAGCATTGCTCCCTTCTTGGAAGTGTGGCCTGGGATGAGCCAGTCGAGCTCCTGAGGGCTCAAGGGGGTCAAGCGCTTCCCTCCCTAGCCCCCAGGCCGAATCAGCCCTTGGCTGCCTACCTTGAGGCCTGTAGCTGCTGGGTGAGACTCTTCACAAGGGCTTCTGGAATTCTGCAGCTGGTGGTGGACGGGGCAGGTTGCCTCACGGCAGAGGGGCGTGTTGTCACTGCCGCAGGATTCTCTTGCCCTTGCTGCAGAAATCGGCCCATCAGTGCCACAGCATTCCACGGGCCCTGAGTTTGGGCCAGTGTAGCTTTGGGATCCAAGTAGTGAAGATTATCTGAAGGATAATTTTCTAGTCAACCAAATGTAAGTACTGTGACTTTACGCTGGTCTTTTCTGGCTTGTGTCGTTGTCTGTGGCTTTAGGGGAGGATGGAGATGGGTGAGAGAAAGCAGGGGCAGTCTTGAATCTGAGTGCATATTTTATCTCCCCTTCTAGCATCACCAACCTGAAGTACTGGGGGCGGTGTGAGCCGATCACCTCCAAGACACTACAGCTTCTCAACGACCTCTCCATTGGATATCCTTTTCAGCAGACCTCTTCCTTGGGTTTGGGCACCCAACGGACACATCGTCACAGTTGCAGGCAGCTGTCAGGCAAAGCCAGGCTTCCTTGCTTTGATGTCCTTCAGGGCTCACTGTCCCATTTCAAGCCTGGCACTTGATAACTTTGGTCTGCCTCAAAATCATCATCCCATTTCTCATTTTGCCCAGAAAAAAATGGCCCCTACCCCCTAGGCAATTGATTCCAGCTAAGTACTAGGGTTTTGTAGAGAGCCAGTGTGGTGTAGTGGTTAAGAGCAATAGACTCATAATCTGGTGAACCGGGTTCTGGTCTCCACTCTTCCACATGCAGCTGCTGGGTGACCTTGGGCCAGTCACACTTCTCTGAAGTCTCTCAGCCCCACTCATCTCACAGAGTGTTTGTTGTGGGGGAGGAAGGGAAAAGGAGATTGTGAGCCGCTTTGAGACTCCTTCGGGTAGTGATAAAGCGGGATTTCAAATCCAAACTCTTTCTTTTGCACTAGAACAGGTTAAGTTCATTTTCTTAACTCGCTTTGTATTTGTAAAGTGCAGATAAATTGGGGAAGAAGCTTAGCCTGGTTGGGTAGGTGCAAATAGGATTTTAAAAAGCAAACTATTAATCAATAATTATGGGTTGGAAGAGCACCCAGAAGTTGCCTTTTCAACTCCCAGCCCAATGCAGATTAATCTCTGCAGTCCTGACCATAACTAGGGAGCAGATCTACCACATGAATGTACTTGCAGAGCAGGTAACTTGCACACAGCAGAAGGAAGGTGAAAATCCCGTGGTGGCTATGTTCTGCCCCCACAGTTGGAGGCAGCAGTGTTTCTGTAAATCCATTACTGGAAACCACGGGAGGGGAGAGGGCTCTTGTGCTCAGATCCTGCTTGCACCTGGTTGGCCACTGTGAGAGCAGAATGCTGGACTGGATGGAACATTTGCCTGATCCAGCAGGCACTTATCAAGTTCTTGGGGTCACTAGCCAGCCTGACCTATGGGTCAGGGACGGAGTGTGTGAATGCAACTGCAGATATTGCAATAGGCATCTTCGACATTAAGGGCCTAACTCAATCAGTCACGCTGGCTGGGGGGATGGAAGTTGTAGTCAGAACAATCTGGAGAGTACCAGGTTGAGGAACCCATCTTCCCGGGTTTGCATGAGGCTACCTTGTTGGCAGTCCCAGGAATCATCCCTTCATCCTCCCAGGGCTTTCTAACCAGCTTTTGACTGGTGCTGTTTCCTTAACATGGCTTCTACCTACAGCAGCGTTAGGAAACTGGTGAAACTCAGCGCTGTGCAGTTCATGCTGAACAATCACACGGTAAGCTTTCAGCCATCTCTGGTGCTTCACTGAGGTTGAGTGGATTTGCACGGTGAAAGGTGTCCCTGATTGTTCCTTAGGATGAAGTCTTCCTGGCCCAGGTAGCTTCTGTTCCCAAGGTCTCTGCTGAATACATGGCAGCTCTCATGTCTCCTCTCAAGGGTTGTTGCTTGTGCTGCGCTGCCCCCTGTGGCGGCTTTTCATGCCGTGCTTCTAGATGGCAAAATTCTCCTACATCCATGCATGAATCATCATGGGAGGCCTCTGCTGACAATGTGAGAGACAGGCAGAGATGGAGAGAGACTGTAACTTGAGGAATTGAGGGCAGCAGTGCTAGCAGCATCTCTACCGCCCCCTCCAATTCCCATGCGACATCCCCAGCATTCTAGGCTCAGTTCCTCAGTTGTCTTTGTAGATATGCCACAAATGAGTTATTCTAGATCAGTGGTTCCCAAACATTTTTGAGGTCCCACTCCTTTGCTTCCATAAGCTTATCCGCAGTGCCCCCACCCTATAAAAAACATACAGAATAGTGGTTTGCACAGCCCAGTAAGGCAGATAATAGCACAGTAAAATTCAAAAGGTCGGCGGTTCAAATCCCCGCAGCGGGGTGCGCTCCCGTTGCTTGGTCCCAGCGCCTGCCAACCTAGCAGTTCGAAAGCACCCCCGGGTGCAAGTAGATAAATAGGGACCGCTTTCTAGCGGGAAGGTAAACGGTGTTCCGTGTGCGGCTCTGGCTCGCCAGAGCAGCGATGTCACGCTGGCCATGTGACCCGGAAGTGTCTTCGGACAGCGCTGGCACCCGGCCTCTTGAGTGAGATGGGCGCACAACCCCAGAGTCTGGCAAGACTGGCCCGTACGGGCAGGGGTACCTTTACCTTTACCTTAAAATTCAAAACAGTAACCATTAATTGTACATTTATCCAAAAGACAATTAGTTCAATTAATTAAACAAAATTGGTGAACTCGATCCAATGATGCCAGGTTCCCAAAGCCTATCACTCATTTACACCTCCGGTGCCCCTCTGCTGCCCTCCTGCCTCTTAGCACCCCCCAGGTCACCCCCACACTCCGGAAGGAGCCGTACCACCCACTTTGGGAAGCACAGATCTAGAGGCTGGACTACGTGTTTGAAACACGGCTGCCCTTCAAGATTGTTTTGTTCTTGGGCAGAACCCATTGTCCTTCCTACAAAGGTTTGTCCCCAAATCCTCATGGCAACGGAGCTCTGGGATGTCTTCTGTGACTGTTATGGACCCTCAAATCCGGCCTGCAGACCTGCCCTTCTGTTACTCCCTTGTAAGAAGATAATGACAACCTGAAAAAGAGAGAGAACCCTTTCAGTTTATAAAAGCCTTGTCTTTCTGCTTGCCTGGAAATGACTATTGCATCCCCAGGTAACTAGGCAGGCCCTTTAGCTCCCGCTCCATGAGTTTATAGTCTGTCATCTCCTTTGCACACACCTCTGCAACCCTGGATCTGAGATATCAAAGCATCCGAAATACGAGCAGAAGCAAGAGAGAGACCAGTTCCTCTTGCTGTGTAGAGCAGGGGTCAGCAACCTTTTTCAGCCGTGGGCCAGTCCACCGTCCCTCAGACCATGTGGAAGGCCAGAGTATATTGGGGGGGGGGATGAATGAATTCCTATGCCCCACAAATAACCCAGAGATGCATTTTAAATAAAAGGACACATTCTACTCATGTAAAAACACACAGATTCCCTGACCGTCCGTGGGCCGGATTGAGAAGGCGATTGGGCCGCATCCAGCCCGCAGGCCTTAGGTTGCCTACCCCTGGTGTAGAGAGTATGCAAAAGGTTTTTTTTTCCTAGAGTGTATTAGAGTTGCTTTGAGCCTGGGATTAAAATATTTTAAATAAACACATGCCCCCAGCCCTTGTGAAGAGAAGCTTGTCAGGATCCTTGCCTTTTTCTTTCCCATTAGAGTGTATGGCTAATGACCTCTGGAAGGTGCTAAAGAGGTCTGTTTTCTAGGCTGTTCTAGTCCTTTTGGGTAAGGGTTTGCATAGCTTTTTGCGGTTGTTAATTTTCAGGATACAGACCGGTTCAAAGTTGCTTCGCCTGTTACCTTTACAATGCTTGGGCATTTGACTTGAGTCATCCACATTTGACCGCTGTGCCCCACAAGCTCATGGCAGCTCTGCCTTGTATGCACAGGTCCAGGCCTTTCTATGGCTGCCTAGTATTGGTGATAGCATTTCAAATGCTAGCTAAAGTGCTACAAATTACGCAAGTAAATACTAAAAAGAGGGTGTTTTGCTATGATTTCCTGTTATTCACACTTCTGTTGACCATTCAAATTGAATTTCAAAACCACGCCTAAAACATGGCACTTGAATACAAAGAGAAGTGAAAAATCCTGTGCATTGTAAGCAATCTAGTGGAGCTACAGGCACTTGACAGCTGGGATTGATTACCAAATTCTAGACAAGCTGCCTCAACTGCCGAAAGCAGGGCAAGGAAGACAGTGTGCTCTTGACTAGCCAGTGTGGGCACAAGCCAGGCACAAAACCTGCCTCCTCAATAACCTAATTTTTGTTCTTCAACAGAGTGAGCACTTTTCGTTCTTGGGTATTAACAATCAGTCCAACCTGAGTGATATGAGATGTCGGACAACTTTCTACACTGCACTTGGGCGCCTCCTCATGGTGGACCTAGGTATTGCACTCTGTTCTTACGGGCCCACTAGACTTTTCTAGTCTTAACTAATTTAATTATTGGTGGGGGCAGTTAATAAGCTAACTTCCTGTAAAGCAAACAAATCTGCTAGGCTGGGGAGGGGGAATCTGAATGTTGATCTTTATCTTGTACACATTAGCACCCCAAAGTTCACTAGACGGGCCAATTGAGGAGAATTAGTTCTGCTGACGGCGACCCCAGATTTGTGGCGTGTGTTGCTGTGCACAGGGCTGTAGAAGATAACAGTCCTTCATGCCTCTCTTCCAGGGGAGGACGAGGATCAGTATGAGCAGTTTATGCTGCCCCTCACAGCTGCCTTCGAGACGGTGGCGCAGATGTTCAGCACCAACACCTTCAATGAGCAGGAGGCAAAGGTAAGGAAGGTCCAGCTCTCGCTCCCCCAATCTTCAGCCACCTCCTCGCACAAGCCTTCAAGCCACGGAGAGCATCTTTCTCCTGCTTGGCAAAACTTTCTGGACTTCAGCTTAACCTATCAGCCAATGGCCCTGCTCACTGGGACTGATGCAAACTGGAGTCCCAAACTTCTAGGGGGCGCCTGGTTGGCAAAACCTGGCTTGGAGGCTCTCACTCAGCTTGTGTGTGCAACCTAGAGGGCTCTTCCACATACAGTCTCTAGCGATGGCCAGCCTCCTTCAGAATCTGAAGCAGGGATTACCTGTCAGTGGAGGATGGTATCCTTTGGCTTGGGCTCAAGGCAGGTCTTTTACAAATCAAGCATACTGCATCAGGCCATTAGGAGGAGGCTCTCCCTCAACACACACACACCCCTCAAATTCCTGGTCCTGCCTGCTATTGAGGCTAGACCAGAGGTCAGCCACCTTTTCCAGCCGTGGGCTAGTCCACCGTCCCTTAGACCATGTGGGGGGCTGGACTATATTTTGCGGGGAGGAGGGGGGGATGAACGAATTCCTATGCCCCACAAATAACCCAGAGGTGCATTTTAAATAAAAGGACACATTCTACTCATGTAAAAACACACTGATTTCTGGACCGTCCGCGGGCCGGATTGAGAAGGCGATTGGGCCGCATCTGGCCCCCGGGCCTTAGGTTGCCTACCCCTGGGCTAGATGTTTGTCAGAGCCCTTCTGCCTCTCTGAACTTCCTCGTTCTCTTTTGGCTACCAGTAGTTCTTTTCCCCCTCCCCTTCCTCCTTCTGCAGTGCTTAGTTAGGTGGCTGCCTGTGTTTGGCCACTTAAATTTTTTCTCGCTGCATACAGACCTCATTGAGCTTTCAGGATGCTACCTGCCACCTGGACTGTAAAGCCATCATGCTCATCGTGCAATCCTGGCCTGAAAAGAGCAATGACCAGTCCTTAATTTCATTCAGCGGGAGGTGGGCAGACAACCACTCTGGAAACAGACTCTCATCATGGATATTTATTTATTTATTTCCCACCCATTTATACCCCAGTTGGCAGCAGAGGGGGGGCTTTTTCTCTTATCTGGCCCTGATCATTTCACAGGACTCTTAAAACTCTCACAGGCAGCAGATGCTAGCCTGTATGCGATAAATATTTTTTCCTTTTTCTTCTCATCCTACAAGAAGATGGTGGTGTGCTTAGAATGAATTTATGGCCTAAACACTGAATCATGGAAACGACCTCTAAAACAAACCTTTCTGTGGTTCCTGATCAGAGTTTCAAACTATTCGGGGAAGAAGCCCCCAATGACATGACATGCTAATTGAGACATTATTCTTACTCTTATTTTATTTGTACCCCGCCCATCTGGGGGCTAGAGGATTGCAGAATCGGGGCACAGCGTTGATGTCAGATGACACCATTGCTCCTAAGACAAACCAGAGTCCCAGCCCAAGCCAAATGTGCCCTTGACAATTCACACCTTCCCTTCGGGAAGGAGCAACGCGGAAGAAGGGGATCATCCTAGCAACAGTTTTGGCCGTACATTGTCTCCAGCAAAAGGAAGGCACCAGTTAATGTTACCAGTGTCCGGGTCTTCAGAAAAATACACTCTAGCCTCCCTGGCAATGCAATATCTGCTTGATAGCCACAGTACAAAACAATTCCAGATTCTCAGAAATGTTTGGGGTGTACAGTAGGGGTGTGTGTTTGCTTTTTTAAATGATTTTTTTTTAAAAAAAACCCAAAGTGAACGAACCCCATTTGCTTTTAAGTATAAAAACAAATGGCAATTAAAAAGAATGAGTTTTAAATGGGGGAAAAGCCGTTTGTTTCTTTTGGGATAAAAAATGGAAACTGTCTGGAACAGCTTGTACTGGTTGCAGGGAGCGGGAAAAGAGAGCAGTCAGACACTGTCTGCACCTTTTAAAGTTGCCTATAAAACGGGCCGTTTGTCCTCTCCATTTGAAATATGGCAGGTCTGATACCATTAAAGAGTTGTAGGGTGCGTCTCAGTTTTATGTCATTTGGATGGAAAGCCCTGCAATTAGACAGCAAAAGACTAGCTAGGTTTGCTACCGAAAGAAACGGGAGCAGAAATGTGAGGTTAACGAAGTCAGATGCACTTGCTCCAGTTCAGTAATGGAAAACAAAGAACAAAACAAATGGCATTTTAAATACTGAAAACAAATAGAGTAACTAACTGAGATATGTGTCTTGTTCACCTCTTGATGTATACGCCTGGTATCTCCCCCCCCCCCCCGGGAAAATGCAATTGTGCATCTTGAGCACCTTTTCATGTTGTGCAGTGGACGCACTCTGCTCCATCACAGGAGCCCAGGCAACCACCAGATTTACCCCCTCTGATAGTAAAGCATACCTGCATGTTCCAATGCATCTGAGGCACTCTAGACTTCTTGGGAATCTATATCACCAGCTCTGAGCCCACCCTTTCAGACTGTTGCCTGTATTGTCTTCACAAAGCTTATCCTTCTCCTGGGACGAGCACAGAGACCAGGGTTCAGTTGCTGTGATACAACATCATCAAGGCTGCCTGGCTAAGTCACCAAGACTTGGACACCAGAGTCTGAATCCTTCTGTGTGCAGAGTGATTCAGAAGCATTTTGGCATTGCCAAAGTCGCCTGGTGAATGGCAAAGTACAGTGGTACCTCAGATTACATACACTTCAGGTTACAGACTCCGCTAACCCAGAAATAGTGCTTCAGGTTAAGAACTTTGCTTCAGGATGAGAACAGAAATTGTGCTGCAGCAGCAGCAGGAGGCCCCATTAGCTAAAGTGCTGCTTCAGGTTAAGAACAGTTTCAGGTTAAGAACGGACCTCCAGAACGAATTAAGTACTTAACCCGAGGCACACCATTCATTTCAGGTTCCCAACAAAGCGTGTCAAAGAAATAGGTTCCCCATCTTTCCCATCATCCCATCTCCTGACCAGAGACCTTGGGAAGTCCTGGCAAGAAGGAAGAGGTTGCATCGTGGAGGAGATGAGCTGGCTGCCTAGCCCTACTCCACAGAGGCTGTACTCTTTGCTCCAGAGGAAGCAGGCCGTTCCTCATCTCTAGCCAGCAGAGAGAAGCCTGCCCCATCGCCACTGAGTGACCGAGAACCCACCTAGGCTTAACATCCAGGAGAGTTGAGGCTATATTAGTTCCTGGCTATTTTGCTGCTGCTGGCATAAGCCAGTTGTGTGGCGAGTTCCCGCCCCCCACCAAGGATAAATAAAGACACAAGACACCATAATTTAAGGTTAAATGGGCGAATCAGGCCACAACTTTATTGAATTCAGGAATGAGAGGCATTGGCTTAGGCTATCCGGCTCCATCCCATTTGCTGGAGACACGGGAAGGGTTAACACCATAGAGGGGGAGTCTCCTGCTGAGGCATGTCAACTAGGAGCTCCCCCGGGTCATCGCTCAGGGGCGTGCCTTTGGCCCACACCTCCATAGGCTTCGGACAGGGCCACGCCCCTCGGAGTCCTTTATCGGACCACCCTATTGTATCCCTGACCTGTTCTTCTTAGAGGCTGTTGCATCCCTCTCCTTCCTTCCCTAATCTTAAGGCGTTTAGTTTAATGCCAATTATTCAGACTTTTTGGTTGGTCTCAGTGGCGTTGTGCCAAGCCTCCTCCTGATGGATGCTTCAGTTTGCTTGCCTTTTGGGCACAAGCCCTGCCTTGAGAGTGAGTGAGAGGGCAGGAAGAATACCCTCCGTCCACCACAAGGAACATTCATAGTCCCACTGTTCAAACTGGAACATACTGAGCAAGGGCCCTTGAAACTAAGACAGGAGATGAGATTGCCCAATGAGGGGATGGATAACTTCTATCCAGAAGAAAAGGCATTAATAAATCAGTTTGGATTGTTGCCTTTCTTTGCCCAATCTGAGATCTTGAGAAGATTGGAGACCCTTAGAAATAAGTTAACAGAGATGAATGCTCAGGAAAAAGTAAGAGAGAAAGAACCGGCAACGGACCAATTGAAGAAAGAGAACCTCTCTGAAAAAGCCAAGACAGACCCCATGAAAGATTACTCTTATAATACCTCTACAATTGCGGAGATAAACCTGTTAACAACAGATCTAACACAGTGCGTAAGGGACAGCAACAATCTACCATCTAAGAAGGAAACCATCCCTATGGCAACCACGAAAGACTCCCCTTATAATACCTCTGCAGCTGCAGAGATAAACCTGACAGCAACAGATCTAACACAGTGCGTAAGGGACAGCAACAATCTACCATCTAAGAAGGAAACCATCCCTATGACAACCACAACGCGCTCTTGGACCAGCATGAGATACCTGGATGAGGATGAACTTGGTATCAGTCAAATAGAACACCTCAAGGTAGATTCGCCAAAAAAAGGAGTACTGATCACTAATGTTAGCACGCTGCACCCTTCAACTGATTCCATTGAGTACCTGGGCGATAATACATCTATGGACATTGCCAAAATGAATGAAATCCAACCAACAGATAAAAAGATAGGCCCAAAAAATCTTTCAAAGGCAAATTGACTAAGATCAATTTTTGGCAAGACAACGTGCAACCTTGCCTTGCTAACTTGGAATATTGCAGGTTGGCAAAAGAGGGTTTCTGACCAATCCTTTGCTAAATATATCCAGAGACATGACATTGTGTTTCTCCAGGAGACCTGGAGCACAAGTGAAGTGGAGTTAAATGGTTTTTCTGCGTTCTCCCTCCCAGGTCTTTTAAGTACTAGAGGGGGGCGAGTTAAAGGTGGGTTAGTTACTTTAATCTCAACAAGGCTAAGGGCCACATTTAAAAAACTAGACCCACTAGACCATCTGGCCACAGCTGTGCAAGTACAGTGGAGAACCCACAGCTGGCTGCTGATTAATGTATACCTACCCCCACAAAGAGAGAAAAGATTGATAAGAAATACTTGGGCTCAGTTAGAACAGTATCTTGACAAACTACTAAATCAATTTCCTGATGCCTCTGTAGTGGTGGCAGGCGACCTAAATGCCAGAACTGGACAATCTGATGAGGCTTTGTGTGCCCATTTCCACGAAACAGTCCCCATTATAGAGGAAACCCACCCAATACCAGCTAGAATCTCAAAGGATAAAGGCTGCAATTATGCCGGCTTATGCCTACTACACTTGGTCAATAAGTTGGACTTGGTTATACTAAATGGCCGTACAGAGGGGGAGAAGGTCGGAGAATTCACATTTATATCTAACAATGGTGCCTCCACAATTGATTATATAATCGTGTCGTATGATCTTCAAAACAAAGTTCTGGAATGCAAAGTGGAGGAGCGCTTAGACAGTGACCATCTGCCATTAAGTGCACTCGTAGCTGCGGGAAAGGATTTATCCTGCGTTGAAAAAATCGAGCATTCGAGCCCTACAGCTTTGGAGCTCAGATATTCGCGCATCAGATGGACAGATGAACTGCATAAGGAAATTTCAAGTAGGCTATGCTCAAAGGAATTCCTCACTAAGAGAGAAAACCTTATAACTTCCTCAAGCCATGAATTAAAGATAAATTTATTTCAGGAGTTAATTTTACTCCTTCAAGATTCCCTGAAGGAAAAAAGGAACAGGCCAAGTAGGCAATCCTCAGTACATAAAAACTCCAAACCTTGGTTTGATCAAGAATGTCAGGATATGAAGCTAAATTTACTGAAAAAATACAAGAATTATAGATCTGCCAATTTACCCCAACTCCCCACGGGCTGGTTTGAAGATAAACGAAATTATAAAATTTTGATCAAAAACAAAAAACTCCTGGCACAGAAAAGAGAATGGAAATGCCTAATAGATGCATCCAGAGAGAGAGATTCGGCCACCTTCTGGAGACTGGTAGCAAATGGAGTGCGATCTACTTCCTCAGAAGTGGAGTATACTATACCCGCAGGGACTTGGGAGGCATTTTTCCAATCTTCATATTCAGCTCTGCCTTTGACACAGCCACTAATACAGTGTGCGGCAGGTGATGAGTGGCCTCCGGTGTCGGTCGCGGAGATTAGGAGGCTTATTCAGGCACTCAAACACAGAAAAGCCCCGGGAGCAGATAACATCTCTCCTGAACTTCTCAAAGCCAATATTGACTGGTGGGCCCCAGTCCTTGCCACCCTTTTCACCAGCATAGATCAAACAGCAATAATACCAGAGGACTGGGGATTGGCAATCATCGTTCCCATATTCAAGAAAGGCTGTAAACTTGATCCAGCCAATTACAGACCAATCAGTCTCTTAAGCATCATCAGCAAACTTTATGCAACTCACTTACGTGAAAAGTTTGCGGACTGGCTGGAACAGGAGCACATCCTAAAGGAAGCCCAGGCTGGTTTCAGGGCACATAGATCAACTCTAGACCAAGGATTGGTATTGCAACATCTAGTGGAGAAATACACCTCAAAGAAAGGAGGCTCTCTCTATGTAGCCTTTATAGATTTCAAATCAGCCTTCGACTCGATACCCCGGCACAGACTTTGGGAAAAACTAAATGTCACAAACATCGATAGACGTCTTTTGCTTCTTATCCGTAGACTACATGAAAATACTCGGATCCGTGTTAGATGCGACCGTTATGGGAACCTATCAAAGGAAATCCAAAGTTTCCATGGTGTCAAGCAAGGCTGTGTTCTTGCCCCTATTCTTTTTAACTTCTATATAAACTCCTTAGTCGGAAAGATGGAGGAAGCAAGTACTCATTCCCCAAACCTAAATAATACACCAATCCCGGTCCTTTTGTACGCAGATGATGCGGCACTTATTTCCTTCTCTTGTGTGGGTCTAAGAAAACTTTTACGAGCTCTTACAGAGTATTGCGAAGCTGAACACCTAATAATAAATTACACTAAATCAAAAATTATGGTGTTCCCCAAGAGAAAACTCCGACATAAATGGAAAATTAATAACCAACCTATTGAGCAAGTAACATCTTTTAGATATCTTGGAATAATTTTTGATGAGAAGGGATCTTGGTGCCATCAGATTAAGAATTCCATTGTAAATGCGCAAAGATCTTCCAGAGCTATCATAAGATTCTTTTACAGAAAAGGAGGTCAATATGTTCCTGCTGCCTCCCAGGTCTTTGTTGCAAAAATACTTCCACAATTGATGTATGGCACCCAGATATTTAATTGTCAAAAACTCAAGTCCCTGGAATCTGTACAAACTAAATTTTATCGTTCCCTACTAGGGTTACCTACCTGTGTCTCTAACACTGCCATTAGGCTGGAGGTAGGTCAACTCCCTATTAATGCCAGGATATGGATCCTGAAGATTCACTTCTGGCTAAAACTCATATTTTTCCCAGTGGGAGTGGCTCCATTGACTCTACTAGACCCGTTCCAGTCTAAATGGAGATTGTCGCTTTATGAAAAATTGAGGGGCCTGGGGCTTTCCCCACAAGAACTCATAGCCTCAGGCTTTGAAAAGGCTAAAATGATGGTGAGCCAGCGAATAGGAGATGTAGAGCTTCAGGACCATATGAGCAAGATAGATAAATATCCAGCTATCCAAGATTATGGAAAAGGGTTTAATCTAACCCCATATTTGCTGGACCTACAAATCGCAAAATATAGGCGGGCGTTTACCCTTACCAGATTTGATGTATTGCCATCTGCCTTACTAAAGGGCAGATACGAGGGCACACCCTATGCTGAACGAGTTTGCCCATGTGGTCTGAAGGAGGTGGAAACGGCTTCACATGTGTTGTTACACTGCGACCTTTACGGGGATATCAGGTTACTGTTTATCTCCCCTATCGTTCAGAAATTTCCAGGTCGATCTGAATCTCAGCGGCTGAAAATCCTACTAGGAGATAAAAACCCAGAAGTAACACTGAAAGTGGCCAAGTTTTCTGCGGCCGCGATCAAGCGGAGGGCATTAGCTGTAAAAAAGTAAAAGATCTGACCCCTGGATAAGCCCCCCCTTTTTTTTAAGCCCATACATATACTGTAGTGCATATATGAGTATGTATATGTGTGTGTGTGTGGGTGTGTGTGTATATGTGTATTGTTTTTATGTATAATTTTACAACTTTTAATTGACACCATCATTCCCTCGTAAATTACTGCTGCCTTTTATGTTTTTTTTCTTTTCTTCTGGTCTATGACCGTAATAAATTTATTCATTCATTCATTCACCACAAGGAACATTCATAGTCCCACTGTTCTTCTTTGAGTGGTATCAAATGAGACAATGGGCCTGTAGATGTCAGTGTCTGGCGACCCTCCAGGGAACTTTCCACCAGTGAGATGCACGCAATGTGCTCCGTGTCTTCCCACTAAGGGGGGGAAGATGAGCATTGAGCTGAACTGTGTTCCGATGCTGTTGCTCAGGGAGTACAGCACGATCTCATCTTACGTGCAATTGACTCACAATTTCAACCTTGCGTGGTTGAAAATGGGCTGGTTGAAATTGCACAGTTTAAATGCACACAAGACCGAGAGTTTAAAAGCTCTTTTTGCAGCGAGTTTTCCTGCCACGGAAGGAACTTGCTTAATGGGCAAGTCCTGGCTCAGCAGGTGGGCTCTGGGATGCTCTCATGGGAACTCGGATGACCTGCAAGAGCATCCCAGAGCCCTTGCCTGGTAAGCAAGGTGGGTGTTTAAAAGTTTTACACCTTGCTTTGGGGGCAAGGCCTGTTTGGCCTTGGTCTGGAAGGCAATGATACCTGTGCAGGGGTGGTTCCAAGGAGTGGTTTTAGTGCACATGGTTTTGCATGTACGAACCATCCTCGGAACGTAATCCCCCCACAAGGTGTTATCATACTGTATCCATTTCTACAGTTGCTTTTGGGTGGACTCTTGCTTCCTCCCCCTAACCCACACCTCTCCCTTCACACAGAGGACGTTGGTTGGCCTGGTGAGAGATTTAAGGGGGATTGCCTTTGCCTTCAACGCCAAGACCAGCTTTATGATGCTCTTCGAGTGGATGTATCCTTAATCCTTATGTATGCCCCTTTACTTCTTCTTGCCACTGCTGAAAACTGCCTTGTGTGTCCTTCAACCCTTCTGATGATACTGCAGCTCAGGTGATAGGCTCTTAGCTGCTTCCCTGATCAAGAAGCAGGGCCTGTGGGCCACAGAATGCCACCTGTAGAATTCCTCTTGTCTTGACATCTGGAGACGCAGCATGACTGTGGCCAGGGAAGAGAACCCACAAATAAGGTGCAGACATAGTGGTGGCAGTGGGATCCCACCAGGATCTCAGCCAAAGGGATCCATTAAGATAAAGGTAAAGGGACCCCTGACCATTAGGTCCCCTCGTGGCCGACTCTGGGGTTGCGGCGTTCATCTCGCTTTACTGGCTGAGGGAGCCGGCGTACAGCTTCCAGGTCATGTGGCCAGCATGACTAAGCCGCTTCTGGCGAACCAGAGCAGCGCACGGAAAATGCCATTTACCTTCCTGCCAGAGTGGTACCTATTTATCTACTTGCACTGCGTGCTTTCGAACTGCTAGGTTGGCAGGAGCAGGGACCGAGCAATGGGGGCTCACCCCGTCGCGGGGATTCGAACTGCTGACCTTCTGTTCGACAAGCCCTAGGCTTGTCTGTGGTTTAACCCACAGCGCCACCCGCGTCCCTCCAGTAAAGTACTCATCCACTTTTCAGGCTTATTATCTGCACCCTAATCTGGAAACATCAGGTGTCTTTTGTGAGTGCCCATGCCATCCTACCTTTAGCCAAATAACACCCTGAGTTTTAAGAACCTGAATATTTAAAGTCATCCTGGAAGCAGTGTTGCCTCCTTAACTTCTGCCTTGCAGCTACCCATCCTACATGCCAATCCTGCAGCGGGCAGTTGAGCTCTGGTACCACGACCCAGCCTGCACCACACCTGTGCTCAAGTTGATGGCCGAGCTGGTGCACAACAGGTAGGTGAAGGGAAGAGGATTGGAACTGCCAGGGCTGACTTGCCTAGGAATGCAAGGGGGCCATTCTTTTACCTGCAGGGGCCTCCATATACGCCCACTGGGCTGCTTCAATCGGCGGAACTGGCACCACTACAGGTGCCATGTAATACCTATTCTGCATTTGTAAGGACTCAATATTTTAGTGTGGTGGCACCTACACTTTGGAAATCCCTGCCTTTTGACACCAAGCAGGCGCCTTCATTATACTCTTTTGGTGCTGGCTAAAAAAAAAACATTTTTGTTTAGACAAGCCTTCACAGATGTTTAGAAAGCTGGTGTGAGTTTTAATCTGTTTTTGGTTTATTGTTGTTTGAACTTTTTGAAAATCTTAAATTACTGTTGTCATTTTTTCTTACTATTGATAATAATAATATTGTTTTACCTTTTATGTAAGCCGCTTGCTCTTTTTTTTACAAACTGTGTATAAATTTTATGAAATAAATCTGAATAAGCAGACTTTTTTTTTTTTTTTTTTTTTTGCGTTTTAAAATTTTATTATGTTCAAACTGGAACATACTGAGCAAGGGCCCTTGAAACTAAGACAGGAGATGAGATTGCCCAATGAGGGGATGGATAACTTCTATCCAGAAGAAAAGGCATTAATAAATCAGTTTGGATTGTTGCCTTTCTTTGCCAATCTGAGATCTTGAGAGAAGATTGGAGACCCTTAGAAATAAGTTAACAGAGATGAATGCTCAGGAAAAGTAAGAGAGAAAGAACCGGCAACGGACCAATTGAAGAAAGAGAACCTCTCTGAAAAAGCCAAGACAGACCCCATGAAATGATTACTTTATAATACCTCTACAATTGCGGAGATAAACCTGTTAACAACAGATCTAACACAGTGCGTAAGGGACAGCAACAATCTACCATCTAAGAAGGAAACCCATCCCTATGGCAACCACGAAAGACTCCCCTTATAATACCTCTGCAGCTGCAGAGATAAACCTGACAGCAACAGATCTAACACAGTGCGTAAGGGACAGCAACAATCTACCATCTAAGAAGGAAACCATCCCTATGACAACCACAACGCGCTCTTGGACCAGCATGAGATACCTGGATGAGGATGAACTTGGTATCAGTCAAATAGAACACCTCAAGGTAGATTCGCCAAAAAAAGGAGTACTGATCACTAATGTTAGCACGCTGCACCCTTCAACTGATTCCATTGAGTACCTGGGCGATAAATACATCTATGGACATTGCCAAAATGAATGAAATCCAACCAACAGATAAAAAGATAGGCCCAAAAAATCTTTCAAAGGCAAATTGACTAAGATCAATTTTGGCAAGACAACGTGCAACCTTGCCTTGCTAACTTGGAATATTGCAGGTTGGCAAAAGAGGGTTTTCTGACCAATCCTTTGCTAAATATATCCAGAGACATGACATTGTGTTTCTCCAGGAGACCTGGAGCACAAGTGAAGTGGAGTTAAATGGTTTGTTCTGCGTTCTCCCTCCCAGGTCTTTAAAGTACTAGAGGGGGGCGAGTTAAAGGTGGGTTAGTTACTTTAATCTCAACAAGGCTAAGGGCCACATTTAAAAAACATAGACCCACTAGACCATCTGGCCACAGCTGTGCAAGTACAGTGGAGAACCCACAGCTGGCTGCTGATTAATGTATACCTACCCCCACAAAGAGAGAAAAGATTGATAAGAAATACTTGGGCTCAGTTTAGAACAGTATCTTGACAAACTACTAAATCAATTTCCTGATGCCTCTGTAGTGGTGGCAGGCGACCTAAATGCCAGAACTGGACAATCTGATAGAGGCTTTGTGTGCCCATTTCCACGAAACAGTCCCCATATTATAGAGGAAACCCACCCAATACCAGCTAGAATCTCAAAGGATAAAGGCTGCAATTATGCCGGCTTATGCCTACTACACTTGGTCAATAAGTTGGACTTTGGTTATACTAAATGGCCGTACAGAGGGAGAAGGTCGGAGAATTCACATTTATATCTAAACAATCGGTGCCTCCACAATTGATTATATAATCGTGTCGTATGATTCTTCAAAACAAAGTTTCTGGAATGCAAAGTGGAGGAGCGCTTAGACAGTGACCATCTGCCATTAAGTGCACTCGTAGCTGCGGGAAAGGATTTATCCTGCGTTGAAAAAATCGAGCATTCGAGCCCTACAGCTTTGGAGCTCAGATATTCGCGCATCAGATGGACAGATGAACTGCATAAGGAAATTTCAAGTAGGCTATGCTCAAAAGAATTCCTCACTAAGAGAGAAAACCTTATAACTTCCTCAAGCCATGAATTAAAGATAAATTTATTTCAGGAGTTAATTTTACTCCTTCAAGATTCCCTGAAGGAAAAAAGGAAACAGGCCAAGTAGGCAATCCTCAGTACATAAAAACTCCAAACCTTGGTTTGATCAAGAATGTCAGGATATGAAGCTAAATTTACTGAAAAAATACAAGAATTATAGATCTGCCAATTTACCCCAACTCCCCACGGGGTGGTTTGAAGATAAACGAAATTATAAAATTTTGATCAAAAAACAAAAAAACTCCTGGCACAGAAAGAGAATGGAAATGCCTAATAGATGCATCCAGAGAGAGAGAATTCGGCCACCTTCTGGAGACTGGTAGCAAATGGAGTGCGATCTACTTCCTCAGAAGTGGAGTATACTATACCCGCAGGGACTTGGGAGGCATTTTTCCAATCTTCATATTCAGCTCTGCCTTTGACACAGCCACTAATACAGTGTGCGGCAGGTGATGAGTGGCCTCCGGTGTCGGTCGCGGAGATTAGGAGGCTTATTCAGGCACTCAAACACAGAAAAGCCCCGGGAGCAGATAACATCTCTCCTGAACTTCTCAAAGCCAATATTGACTGGTGGGCCCCAGTCCTTGCCACCCTTTTCACCAGCATAGATCAAACAGCAATAATACCAGAGGACTGGGGATTGGCAATCATCGTTCCCATATTCAAGAAAGGCTGTAAACTTGATCCAGCCAATTACAGACCAATCAGTCTCTTAAGCATCATCAGCAAACTTTATGCAACTCACTTACGTGAAAAGTTTTGCGGACTGGCTGGAACAGGAGCACAATCCTAAAGGAAGCCCAGGCTGGTTTCAGGGCACATAGATCAACTCTAGACCAAGGATTGGTATTGCAACATCTAGTGGAGAAATACACCTCAAAGAAAGGAGGCTCTCTCTATGTAGCCTTTATAGATTTCAAATCAGCCTTCGACTCGATACCCCGGCACAGACTTTGGGAAAAACTAAATGTCACAAACATCGATAGACGTCTTTTGCTTCTTATCCGTAGACTACATGAAAATACTCGGATCCGTGTTAGATGCGACCGTTATGGGAACCTATCAAAGGAAATCCAAAGTTTCCATGGTGTCAAGCAAGGCTGTGTTCTTGCCCCTATTCTTTTTAACTTCTATATAAACTCCTTAGTCGGAAAGATGGAGGAAGCAAGTACTCATCCCCAAACCTAAATAATACACCAATCCCGGTCCTTTTGTACGCAGATGATGCGGCACTTATTTCCTTCTCTTGTGTGGGTCTAAGAAAACTTTTACGAGCTCTTACAGAGTATTGCGAAGCTGAACACCTAATAATAAATTACACTAAATCAAAAATTATGGTGTTCCCCAAGAGAAAACTCCGACATAAATGGAAAATTAATAACCAACCTATTGAGCAAGTAACATCTTTTTAGATATCTTGGAATAATTTTTGATGAGAAGGGATCTTGGTGCCATCAGATTAAGAATTCCATTGTAAATGCGCAAAGATCTTCCAGAGCTATCATTAGATTCTTTTACAGAAAAGGAGGTCAATATGTTCCTGCTGCCTCCCAGGTCTTTGTTGCAAAAATACTTCCACAATTGATGTATGGCACCCAGATATTTAATTGTCAAAAACTCAAGTCCCTGGAATCTGTACAAACTAAATTTTATCGTCCCTACTAGGGTTACCTACCTGTGTCTCTAACACTGCCATTAGGCTGGAGGTAGGTCAACTCCCTATTAATGCCAGGATATGGATCCTGAAGATTCACTTCTGGCTAAAACTCATATTTTTCCCAGTGGGAGTGGCTCCATTGACTCTACTAGACCCGTTCCAGTCTAAATGGAGATTGTCGCTTTATGAAAAAATTGAGGGGCCTGGGGCTTTCCCCACAAGAACTCATAGCCTCAGGCTTTGAAAAGGCTTAAATGATGGTGAGCCAGCGAATAGGAGATGTAGAAGCTTCAGGACCATATGAGCAAGATAGATAAATATCCAGCTATCCAAGATTATGGAAAAGGGTTTAATCTAACCCCATATTTGCTGGACCTACAAATCGCAAAATATAGGCGGGCGTTTACCCTTACCAGATTTGATGTATTGCCATCTGCCTTACTAAAGGGCAGATACGAGGGCACACCTATGCTGAACGAGTTTGCCCATGTGGTCTGAAGGAGGTGGAAACGGCTTCACATGTGTTGTTACACTGCGACCTTTACGGGGATATCAGGTTACTGGTTATCTCCCCTATCGTTCAGAAATTTCCAGGTCGATCTGAATCTCAGCGGCTGAAAATCCTACTAGGAGATAAAAACCCAGAAGTAACACTGAAAGTGGCCAAGTTTTCTGCGGCCGCGATCAAGCGGCAGGAGGCATTAGCTGTAAAAAAGTAAAAGATCTGAACCCCTGGGGCCGTTTGTCCTCTCCATTTGAAAATATGGCAGGTCTGATACCATTAAAGAGTTGTAGGGTGCTTCTCAGTTTTATGTCATTTGGATGGAAAGCCCTGCAATTAGACAGCAAAAGACTAGCTAGGTTTGCTACCGAAAGAAACGGGAGCAGAAATGTGAGGTTTAACGAAGTCAGATGCACTTTGCTCCAGTTCAGTAATGGAAAACAAAGAAACAAAACAAATGGCAGTTTAAATACTGAAAACAAATAGAGTAACTAACTGAGATATGTGTCTTGTTCACCTCTTGGATGTATCGCCTGGGTATCCCCCCCTCCCCCCGGAAAATGCAATTGTGCATCTTGAGCACCTTTTTCATGTTGTGCAGTGGACGCACTCTGCTCCATCACAGGAGCCCAGGCAACCACCAGATTTACCCCCTCTGATAGTAAAGCATACCTGCATGTTCCAATGCATCTGAGGCACTCTAGACTTCTTGGGAATCTATATCACCAGCTCTGAGCCCACCCTTTCAGACTGTTGCCTGTATTGTCTTCACAAAGCTTATCCTTCTCCTGGGACGAGCACAGAGACCAGGGTTCAGTTGCTGTGATACAACATCATCAAGGCTGCCTGGCTAAGTCACCAAGACTTGGACACCAGAGTCTGAATCCTTCTGTGTGCAGAGTGATTCAGAAGCATTTTTGGCATTGCCAAAGTCGCCTGGTGAATGGCAAAGTACAGTGGTACCTCAGATTACATACACTTCAGGTTACAGACTCCGCTAACCCAGAAATAGTGCTTCAGGTTAAGAACTTTGCTTCAGGATGAGAACAGAAATTGTGCTGCAGCAGCAGCAGGAGGCCCCATTAGCTAAAGTGCTGCTTCAGGTTAAGAACAGTTTCAGGTTAAGAACGGACTTCCAGAACGAATTAAGTACTTAACCCAAGCACACCATTCATTTGAGGTTCCCAACAAAGCGTGTCAAAGAAATAGGTTCCCCATCTTTCCCATCATCCCATCTCCTGACCAGAGACCTTGGGAAGTCCTGGCAAGAAGGAAGAGGTTGCATCGTGGAGGAGATGAGCTGGCTGCCTAGCCCTACTCCACAGAGGCTGTACTCTTTGCTCCAGAGGAAGCAGGCCGTTCCTCATCTCTAGCCAGCAGAGAGAAGCCTGCCCCATCGCCACTGAGTGACCGAGAACCCACCTAGGCTTAACATCCAGGAGAGTTGGGGCTATATTAGTTCCTGGCTATTTTTGCTGCTGCTGGCATAAGCCAGTTGTGTGGCGAGTTCCCGCCCCCCACCAAGGATAAATAAAGACACAAGACACCATAATTTAAGGTTAAATGGGCGAATCAGGCCACAACTTTATTGAATTCAGGAATGAGAGGCATTGGCTTAGGCTATCCGGCTCCATCCCATTTGCTGGAGACACGGGAAGGGTTAACACCATAGAGGGGGAGTCTCCTGCTGAGGCATGTCAACTAGGAGCTCCCCCGGGTCATCGCTCAGGGGCGTGCCTTTGGCCCACACCTCCATAGGCTTCAGACAGGGCACGCCCCTCGGAGTCCTTTATCGACCACCCTATTGTATCCCTGACCTGTTCTTCTTAGAGGCTGTTGCATCCCTCTCCTTCCTTCCCTAATCTTAAGGCGTTTAGTTTAATGCCAATTATTCAGACTTTTTGGTTGGTCTCAGTGGCGTTGTGCCAAGCCTCCTCCTGATGGATGCTTCAGTTTGCTTGCCTTTTGGGCACAAGCCCTGCCTTGAGAGTGAGTGAGAGGGCAGGAAGAATACCCTCCGTCCACCACAAGGAACATTCATAGTCCCACTGTTCTTCTTTGAGTGGTATCAAATGAGACAATGGGCCTGTAGATGTCAGTGTCTGGCGACCCTCCAGGGAACTTTCCACCAGTGAGATGCACGCAATGTGCTCCGTGTCTTCCCACTAAGGGGGGGAAGATGAGCATTGAGCTGAACTGTGTTCCGATGCTGTTGCTCAGGGAGTACAGCACGATCTCATCTTACGTGCAATTGACTCACAATTTCAACCTTGCGTGGTTGAAAATGGGCTGGTTGAAATTGCACAGTTTAAATGCACACAAGACCGAGAGTTTAAAAGCTCTTTTTGCAGCGAGTTTTCCTGCCACGGAAGGAACTTGCTTAATGGGCAAGTCCTGGCTCAGCAGGTGGGCTCTGGGATGCTCTCATGGGAACTCGGATGACCTGCAAGAGCATCCCAGAGCCCTTGCCTGGTAAGCAAGGTGGGTGTTTAAAAGTTTTACACCTTGCTTTGGGGGCAAGGCCTGTTTGGCCTTGGTCTGGAAGGCAATGATACCTGTGCAGGGGTGGTTCCAAGGAGTGGTTTTAGTGCACATGGTTTTGCATGTACGAACCATCCTCGGAACGTAATCCCCCCACAAGGTGTTATCATACTGTATCCATTTCTACAGTTGCTTTTGGGTGGACTCTTGCTTCCTCCCCCTAACCCACACCTCTCCCTTCACACAGAGGACGTTGGTTGGCCTGGTGAGAGATTTAAGGGGGATTGCCTTTGCCTTCAACGCCAAGACCAGCTTTATGATGCTCTTCGAGTGGATGTATCCTTAATCCTTATGTATGCCCCTTTACTTCTTCTTGCCACTGCTGAAAACTGCCTTGTGTGTCCTTCAACCCTTCTGATGATACTGCAGCTCAGGTGATAGGCTCTCAGCTGCTTCCCTGATCAAGAAGCAGGGCCTGTGGGCCACAGAATGCCACCTGTAGAATTCCTCTTGTCTTGACATCTGGAGACGCTGCATGACTGTGGCCAGGGAAGAGAACCCACAAATAAGGTGCAGACATAGTGGTGGCAGCGGGATCCCACCAGGATCTCAGCCAAAGGGATCCAGTAAGATAAAGGTAAAGGGACCCCTGACCATTAGGTCCAGTCGTGGCCGACTGGGGTTGCGGCGTTCATCTCGCTTTACTGGCTGAGGGAGCCGACGTACAGCTTCCAGGTCATGTGGCCAGCATGACTAAGCCGCTTCTGGCGAACCAGAGCAGCGCACGGAAAATGCCATTTACCTTCCTGCCAGAGTGGTACCTATTTATCTACTTGCACTGCGTGCTTTCGAACTGCTAGGTTGGCAGGAGCAGGGACCGAGCAATGGGGGCTCACCCCGTCGCGGGGATTCAAACTGCTGACCTTCTGTTCGACAAGCCCTAGGCTCTGTGGTTTAACCCACAGCGCCACCCGCGTCCCTCCAGTAAAGTACTCATCCACTTTTCAGGCTTATTATCTGCACCCTAATCTGGAAACATCAGGTGTCTTTTGTGAGTGCCCATGCCATCCTACCTTTAGCCAAATAACACCTTGAGTTTTAAGAACCTGAATATTTAAAGTCATCCTGGAAGCAGTGTTGCCTCCTTAACTTCTGCCTCGCAGCTACCCATCCTACATGCCAATCCTGCAGCGGGCAGTTGAGCTCTGGTACCACGACCCAGCCTGCACCACACCTGTGCTCAAGTTGATGGCCGAGCTGGTGCACAACAGGTAAGTGAAGGGAAGAGGATTGGAACTGCCAGGGCTGACTTGCCTAGGAATGCAAGGGGGCCATTCTTTTATCTGCAGGGGCCTCCATATACGCCCACTGGGCTGCTTCAATCGGCGGAACTGGCACCACTACAGGTGCCATGTAATACCTATTCTGCATTTGTAAGGACTCAATATTTTAGTGTGGTGGCACCTACACTTTGGAAATCCCTGCCTTTTGACACCAAGCAGGCGCCTTCATTATACTCTTTTGGTGCTGGCTAAAAAAAAACATTTTTGTTTAGACAAGCCTTCACAGATGTTTAGAAAGCTGGTGTGAGTTTTAATCTGTTTTTGGTTTATTGTTGTTTGAACTTTTTGAAAATCTTAAATTACTGTTGTCATTTTTTCTTACTATTAATAATAATAATATTGTTTTACCTTTTATGTAAGCCGCTTGCTCTTTTTTTTACAAACTGTGTATAAATTTTATGAAATAAATCTGAATAAGCAGACTTGAGAACATTTAAACATTTGATTGATTGATTGATTGATTGATTGATTCGGATACCACCCTTCACCCAAAGATCACAGGGCAGTTCACAACATAAAACTCACCAGAAGCTTAAGTGTAACCACAGGAACCAGGTCAGTTCTCCCTGGAAACAGCATAGAAGACCTCAGCCCTCTGGTTGCCTCTGTTGGCAGGGGCCTCTGAAGATCTGGACAAACCAGAAGTAGTCCTTTGAGCAGCGCATACTTGTCTGTGGAATTCCACAAGAGGCCGTAACGGCTTTTTATTTTCGGTGGCTTTTTAAAAGGATAGCTAAATTCATGAAGGATAGGCCTATCATTGGCCACTATATGAGTTCCAGCTCTTTTTCTCCCCATGCTTCAGCCAACTCACAACTTTGTTTGTTTCTTCCTTCCAGATCCCAGAGGCTGCAGTTTGATGTCTCCTCACCCAATGGCATCCTGCTCTTCCGGGAGACGAGTAAAATGATAACTACCTATGGTGGGTCTCTTTCGAGGGAACGGGCGTCACTTGATGGGCTGCACTAGGTTGCAGTGGGTGGCCAAAGGATGCCCCACTCCGTGACTGGCCTTAAACGGGTGGGGGGAAGAGGCAGCCTGCCACATTCTCCAGTCACAGACCTCTTCTAAAGTCCTGGAGCAGGAGGGAGAATAGGCCTTGCCAAAAGACAAACAGCCAGGCCATGGCTCTTCCCCAGAACTTCCTTGCCGCCTGGCAGTTTTCCACGGTCACTGTTGACAGTCTCACTTTTTCTTCTCTAATTACATTCTGTGCTAGGTTATCCACATGAATTTTTGGATTATTTTAGAGTAGAACCAAAGCTCATAGCGAGCAGCGACACAGGGCAAACTATGCTGTTATAACGTTTAAAAACAGGAGTAAATTAAAAAGCACCTTTCTGTATCAATATAAAAATGGGTATTGGCCTCACCCCTTGTGAAGGCGACATGTTGAGAGTGAAGTAATGGTCTCCTGCACATTCAGTGTGGCTTTTTGACTTCTCTGTTGACCTCCTGAGAATAATATACTCTGGGCTGAGGTTAAAGGGGAAATGTACTGAGCAGAGTTGAGATAACTAGCTTTCAAAAAAATGCTTTTGCAGGAAATCGCATCCTAACCTTGGGGGAGGTTCCGAAGGATCAAGTGTATGCCTTGAAGCTCAAAGGGATTTCCATCTGCTTCTCTATGTTAAAAGCTGCCCTGAGCGGCAGCTACGTCAATTTCGGTGTCTTCCGTCTGTATGGGGACGACGCACTTGATAACGCCTTGCAAACCTTCATCAAACTCCTGCTCTCCATCCCCCACAGCGACCTTCTGGTGAGCTTGTCCGCCTTGCATCAGGCCCCCAAACCTTCCCCCACTTCGGGGGCACCTTGGGCAGCATTCCACGGACTCCTCCCATAAGCGCAAGCATTATCACCAGCACAACAATACTTCTCCCCGCACAATCCTCACACCTGCTTGAGTGTTGGAGGAGTCCCTGCAACAGATTTGCAGGCTTGCAGGGGAAGAAGGTCTGTCGCACTAGTGATAATCCTTGCACTGATGGGATCCTGGCTCAGCACTGCTTCGCATACAGCCCCTTGTTTTACTGTGCTGCCTGTGCACAAGTGTCACAGTTGGTTTGCAGTTACTCTGCGCCACAGATGGGCAACCTGCTATCAGTGTTTTCCTTCTCGGAGCTTAAGTTAAGATTCCACCTTTTTCATGCCTTTATGTATTTCCCCTCCATGTAGTTTTTGACAACCTGTGCTACAAGGTCTGCACTGAATCCTGCATGTTTCTGCTAACAGGTGATTTGGGCAGTAAGGCTAATGCCCCTTGCCAGACAAAACCATGGGGTTAACATGGCGTCGTGGGATCCAAATGGGAAGTTGGTCGGTAGATGCTGAAGAACGAGGAAGTGTGCTGTGGAGAATAAAGCCACAAATTCCTCCTCTTACTTACCACCTCTCTTTGCAAACACACACCTTGAAATTCTGGTGTTGAGGGTTCACAGTACATGGGCTAGTGCCTTGCACAAGCTCAACAATCAAAAAGTTATATTTCCCCTGTTATGCTTTGAAACATACTGCTTCTGACAGTAGGGTTGCAGTGGGGTTGTATAAGCACTGTGCTGTTGCTCCCTGTAGCAGTTTTGGGACGCGCCAGGATATGACTCTTCACATCTCTCATACCTGCATTCTCCCTTCCTTCCTTTGTTTGCAGGACTACCCTAAACTCAGCCAGTCCTATTATTCATTACTGGAAGTACTCACCCAGGACCACATGAATTTTATAGCTAGCCTGGAGCCGCACGTAATCATGTATATTCTTTCTTCCATTTCGGAAGGTCTCACAGCACTAGGTGAGTGTATCCATGTTCTCTGTGTGTCTCCTTGGATGTGTCAGGGATGGGCAGGAGCCTGAGGAGTCGGGGGGTGTATGGGCAGAGGAAGCAGTGGGGAGGAAGATCCAAGGGGCCAGTGACCTGTGGGGTGGGGTGCCTCCCTGTGAGGCAGCTGCCGGTGGTGGTGGAACAGGGGTCAGGAGGAGGAGCCTGGGCAATTGAGACGCATCACAAGCCTGCAGCCATAGGCACCTAGACAGATAATTAAAGATACAGAATGATGGCGCCAGGCGAGTCTCCTTGGGGAGAGCGGGGAGCCACTGTTGAAAAGGCCCGTTCTCATGTTGCCACCCTATGGACTTCCTGTGGAGGAGGCACACGAAGAAGGGCCGCAGTTGACGATCACAGTCAGGGTCAGTTCATATGGGGAGAGATGGCCCTTGAGGTACTGGGAGTCACCCCACTCTTCCCCTTCTTTCCTGTCTTTGTAGACACCATGGTTTGCACTGGCTGCTGCTCCTGCCTGGACCACATTGTCACCTATCTCTTCAAGCAGCTCTCCCGCAGCACCAAAAAGAGGGCTGCCCCCCTGACGCAGGAGAGCGACCGGTTCCTGCACATCATGCAGCAGCACCCAGAGATGATCCAGCAGGTAAGGGGGGGTGCAGGTACTGGTCGCAGCCAGTGGCCTCCTTGGCTAATCCTATGACACTCATGGAAGTGAGAGCTGGACCATAATGAAGGCTGATTGCCGAAGAATTGATGCTTTTGAATTATGGTGCTGGAGAAGACTCTTGAGAGTCCCACGGACTGCAAAAAGATCAAACCTCTCCATTCTGAAGGAAATCAGCCCTGAGTGCTCCCTGGAAGGACAGATCGTGAAGCTGAGGCTCCAATACTTTGGCCACCTCATGAGAAGAGAAGACTCCCTGGAAAAGACCCTGATGTTGGGAAAGATGGAGGGCACAAGGAGAAGGGGACGACAGAGGACGAGATGGTGGGACAGTGTTCTCGAAGTGACCAACATGAGTTTGATCAAACTGCGGGAGGCAGTGGAAGACAGGAGTGCCTGGCGTGCTCTGGTCCATGGGGTCACGAAGAGTCGGACACGACTAAACAACAACAAATCCCATTCTTTAGGCAAAATGACTCCCAGAGGGGCTTGCATACAATCCAAACAAGACAGTCCTTACCTACAGGCTTACAATCTTATTTTTTAAAAAAAGTTCAGGAGCAGGAGGTGCCTGGTGGAGCTGGGCATCTAGCAAAGCAGATGGAACAAGCCCTGTTTCCTGTGTCTCCCACTGAGGCCATCTGGTGGAGAATGGCTGCCCCAACAGTTGAGGGGAGAGGAGACCTGATGGGGCTGGCAGCCTGTCACATCAGAGCTAATGATGCGTCTCAGCTCTCCCGAGCGAGAGGCCAGTCAGGAAGCACTTGCAACAAGATGCTAATTTGCGGCCTCCCTACTTCTTCCTTTCAGTGCAAGCTTGAGAATTCTTGTGTGGCTAGTCTTGTGTGCACCTGCCAAGGCTCAGTTAAGGCTACTAGACGGGGCAAGAGAGAGCCTGTGCCCCAGCCCAGCAAGGGTAGTGACTTAGCTGATGCCCATCATTACCTGTCATGCTCATCCAGGTCACACTGAACAGACTGGATGAGTCTTCTAGTGTGCTTAAAGGTAAAGGGAAAGGTACCCCTGCCCGTACGGGCCAGTCGTGACCAACTCTGGGGTTGTGTGCTCATCTCGCTTAAGAGGCCGGGAGCCAGCGCTGTCCGGAGACACTTCCGGGTCACATGGCCAGCGTGACGAAGCTGCTCTGGCGAGCCAGCACCAGCCGTTACCTTCCCGCTATAAAGCAGTACCTTCCCTCTTTAAATGGTTCCATTCAGTCATACGTCTTTTCCAAAAAAAAGTCCCTGCGATCTCTGAAGAGTGTAACAGCTAGCTTGATTTTGCTCATTCCTTCTAGATGCTATCAACAGTGTTGAATATCATCATCTTTGAGGACTGCAGGAATCAGTGGTCCATGTCTCGGCCTCTGCTTGGTTTGATACTGCTCAATGAAAAGGTAAGGCACTTTTTAGAGAGTTGTTCAACGGCTGGGACTCCTTAAAAGGAGTGCTCAGGAGATGCTGACTCCTGTCAGCACAGCCCCTTGGGTAACTTAACCAGCATCCCCTCTTTTCTCCCCCTTCCAGTATTTCTCAGACCTACGGAACAGTATAGTGAACAGCCAGCCTCCAGAGAAGCAGCAAGCTATGCACCTCTGCTTTGAAAATCTCATGGAAGGCATAGAGCGTAATTTGCTCACCAAGAATCGCGATAGGTCAGTATCTCTCCTCTGCTGCAGAGAGCAGACTGCATAACAGCTGGGGATGGAAATCTCCCCTGAGGCTGCCAGCAACTCAAGGCCCTCCAGGAGCCATCGCGGGCATCAGGGGAGACTCTTTGCCTCCAGAGCTTCTCTCTGTAACGTTGTTCCACTGGAAAACATATGAGGTCATGAGCTCCTTAAGAGCTGCTTGGAATTTGCTGTGCAACACTAGTGGCTCAGACACGGGGCGGATATTAGGAATGGGGAATGTTCACAGTAACTCTTACTTGAGGGCAGAAGCAAGTACCCTGTACTTGCAAGTATTTAAAACAGTCTTCCCCTCTGCCCCCACATGCCCTTCTCATTAAGTCCTGGCATTTCCTAATTAGCAAGGCCCTGAGCAGAAGAATATGCCATATTTTTCGCCCTATAGGACGCACTTTTTCCCCTCCAAAAATGAAGGGGAAATGTGTGTGCGTCCTATGGGGCGAATGCAGGCTTTCGCTGAAGCCTGGAGAGCGAGAGGGGTCGGTGTGCACCGACCCCTCTCGCTCCCCAGGCTTCAGGAAGCTATCCGCAAGGTGCGGGAGCCCGGCACTGGGCTCCCGCGGCTTGCGGAGAGTTGCCTGCATGCTGAAGCCTGGGTGTGCCAAGCTCAGCGCGCCCAGGCTTCACGCAGCTCTCCGCAAAGCACGGGAGCCCGGCGCTGGGCTCCCGCGGCTTGAGGAGAGTTGCCTGTTCTGGGGGCTGGGTCGGGGGAAGCTTGGGCTTCCCCTGCCCAGCCCTGCGCCTGGGGGGGAAATAATATTTTTTCCTTTATTTCCCCCCCAAAAAACTAGGTGCGCCTTATGGGACGGTGCGCGTCCTATAGGGCGAAAAATACGGTAATACTTTGCAAAGCCTGTTCTGCAGGCTAAAAGTGAGCATGCTTAACTGTCCTAAATAGATTATTTTAGGGAGGTGGGAGTGGAAAGTAGGAAATGTCAACAGCTTTCGGATGTCAAAGGAAATTGGTGGGGGAACGGTTCTTGACCAAAAGTAAGGGGAACGGACTTGGCTTCGGCCATTGCACCCCAACCATTAGGAATGCCTTCCCAACTTGAAGAGCAGTTCAGGGATAGGACAGCCTGCCTAGGGTGGCTGTGGAAACCCATTCCAAGAATATTTTGCAGGTACCAATTGGCCCAGCTTAAGGGAATGTGTGCACACAGCTGCTATCAACCTAACTTTCCAGCTGATTATTACAGAATTATTGTTCAAAACAGAGATTTTTCAGAGAATGAGGATGTTAAAGCAAATTTAAGGGAAAGATCCGAGAGGGGTAGAACTTAATGGGAAGAGAGTCAGGGTCTAAAGAACCTCGCAAGAAACCAGGACACAAATGATGACCCCTGCAAGTCTTTACCAAACGCCGACTTGCCGTGCCTCAAGAAAGGGCTGTACACTTTATTTTCATTTGCTTTTCTTAAAGTGCCTTAAATGAGGTTACCAATTCACATCCCCTGCAGCAAAATCGAGAGCTGTCCTTATACTTCACTGAGCAGCCTTCCAAGTGATTCTGAGAGTTCAGTTGTCAGTACAGATGGTGACCATCTCGTGCAGGTGTCGGCAGAGCACGTTTAAGTGCACCTCACCCCGTTCTGCCTTCTTCCAAGGCCCACACGTTGGCAATCGCATGTCCATTGGACATGCCTAAAACGATTGCTGCCTGTATTTAATATGCTGACTTAACATCTTGGGATGGTGGATTTTGCCCGCTTTCTAACCCAGCTTTGGCTTGCCTCCTTGGCAGGTTTACACAGAACCTGTCTGCATTCCGGCGGGAGGTAAATGGACTCTATGAAGAACTCCGCCTATGGGGTAAACAGCAACGACATGATGAGCTGACATCTCGCGAGGAACCTCTCTCTGGCCCGGGCCGGGGAGGTTAACTTTCCGATGGAAAGACAAAAGGGCATTTCTGATCCCTGCTGGTCCCTGGGGCTAGGCTGCAGGAGGAAGGGGTGTTATAAAAAAAAAGTTCACCAGGGCAGAGGGGGCTCGTTTCCTTGGGGGCGGAGCAAGGGGGAGACCAGCGTATTTCCCTGGGTGAATGTTGGAGAGGAACCCCAGCTCCTGCCGCAGCCTGCCTTGTATAAACATGTACATTTTTTCATAACATTTTGAACAAGGTTTATATTGACTCAAGTTTAAAAAAAAAAAAGTGTGACTGAAATTTTTACAGGAGTTTAGTGCACCAATGCTGAAGTGAGGGTTGTATGTGAGAGAGGAAGCTGTGTCTCCTGGCCGCCTGCCGTGTTCCTGGGCAAGGGGGTGTGAAAGTGCAGAGTTATATTTAGTAACCAGTGTAGAGAGAGAGAGGCACAAGAAGTGTAAAATTCCAAATGTATATTTTCTTATACATCCCTTTTAACTTGCACCATCCTACCCCAATCTTCCTTCTCCTCTCCCCACCCCTTCTCGTTAGGAACTCAAAGCCATGCCATGCTCCATGCTGTCCGTGAGTGTCCATCCCTTCTGCCCCATCAAACTGACACAGCTCTCTTCCCGCCTGGTCCCAGCTGGCCAGCCCAAGGAAGCCTGAGCTGCTCTGTCCATGCCTCGCCTCCCCAGAACATTGCACCAGGCTTTCCCCTCCGTGTGTGAACCTCATTGTTTCTCAGCTGCTGGAAAATGCATAGAGAATCTGCTTCAGGGCCTGAGCTAGTTTCTCTCCTCCCAAAAAGCAGCCTCGGTGAACTGCCTTGCCTTGTAACAGAGCCTGGCCGTGGTCTTCCCTGAGGCCATCTCTGCCGCTTGTCTACACCTGTCTACAGTTAGGGACTGTGGGGAGTGGGCACAGGCTTGCTACCAAGGCAGGCCCAGCATGACATGCAACTCCCCTTGAGAAAGTCCATTCTCCCCCCCCCCAAAAAAAAAAATGCTGGCACCAACATCAATGTTTTTCAATATTTAAATTACTTAAGAGAAAATAATGGGGGGAAATGACCCTGTTTGCCTTGTACTTCCCCATTCTTCTTGCTGCTAGTTCTGTGCCCACCCAAGCCCAGCCGAACCTGCCCTTGGTTTCTTCTCCCAGATAGCGCCACCTCGGTTTTTATTCTTTTTGTTCTTTCTCCTCTGGCGACTGTGTGTTGGGTCCTTTTTGCGTGAGCAGATTGCTGGATGACTTGTAAGGGTGTTTGCTGCATACAGTGTAAGCATTGTGGCTGCAAATAAACTTCAGTGGTTTCTACTGAGCTGTGTGGAACCAGGCCAGAGTGCTACTCTTGTGTGACGTTAAATGACGGTAGTGTGCGATGACCACGAGCCAACAGGCGGGTGTCTGGAACTAGAGCGCAAGTTCTTGGCAGCAGTAGGCAACCCTCTTAGCAGCTGCTTGCTTCCTCATCCCTGCTGGAAAAATATAGTGGAGGGGCGAGAGGGGGGACGGGAGGAGAGGTGACGGTACCATAACCATCTCCAAAAGTAGCCAGGTTAAGAGGATCTCACGCGCAGCATTTGCCAACACAGTAAGGTCGCGTCTTGCATGCATTCAATCTGTGCAATTTCAATGATATGCAGTTGAAGGCCGCTGATTGAAATCCTGTGACTTCAAGTGCAAGCGAGGCAGAGCTCTTAAAAGTTCTTTTTGCGCTGTGAAAACCCAGTGCAAAAAAAGCTTTTGAGCTCTCTGGATTTCTTGGGAAGCAAAGCTCGCTAATGTGTGCATCAGTTCTGGAAGCCCTGGGGTGCTTGTGGCTTCAAAGGGCTTGAGTGCACACATTTCTGCATATACACAGAACCCTTGGAACCAAACCCCCACATAAGATGCAATTGTACAGGCTTGTTGCAGGGGACGACAACATTGGACTGCTTCTCCAAACTCCTTTTTTATGCTGCATATTTCGATACTCTGATAAGTTAGAGGACTTGCTAGGGGAATATGTAGTAAACCTGATTTGTAGCTGTCCCTGAACCATATTTTATCTCCACAGCCAACCCTTCACATTCAGGGCTAGAGCAGATACACAATACAAAAGCTGCTCTTCAAGTTTATTTACATGCTGCTTTTAAGCCTCAACTAACATACCCACACTGAGGAAGCCTTTTTCTTTTATTATGGCTCAGGGCGCTCTTTTATTTTTAGACCAGGGTGTGGCAAGGTTTTCCTTGCCAGGACTGGTTCACTCCGCAGAGATCGTTCCATGGGCCAGATCGCGTCTGCGCAGACACGATTTCCGTTGCTGTGGAAGTGAGTCCCTGCTCCACCAGTTTAGCACAGCAGGCAGCTCGTGGATCATTTAAACGACCTCCGTGGGCCGCTTGTGGCCTATGGGCCACAGGTTGCCAACCCCTGTTCTAGACAGAGGTAGAACAGCACCCAGCATCCTACAAGATTTTTCTGAGATCACTGATACCAATTAGCTTTTTGGGAAACATGACAGTATCCTACATAGTGTGGGTGAATATCCCTCTCAGGATACAGGGCAGCTTAGAGTGTGTGACTTGTAGCTTGGTAACTATATTTAAATGGTCGTTTGTGTTGATTACCTGTGATCATCCCACAGCTTTTAAGTTTGTTGTATTCTGTGAATCAGTGAGAGAGGGTAAAAAACCAGGGACCAATTGGACTCACCTGCTGCTGTTTTTTCATTTTAGCTTTTAATGTTGAGTTCGTTTCCATAGTATTTGGATCTTGACATTATGAGAGCCTGTTGCTTTGGCTGAGCCCACAAATGCGTCACTGTTATCCATTACTTAGATATTTTGGCACCTTAAACAATATTCCAGCAGCGCTGTGGCTCTTACACCTCTGCCTCGAAACAGGAACAGTCTGCAGCTTGGCTAGAGTTGATGCTGGTGCAAAGCCATGATCCCTGTCCATTCTGAACGTGTTGCCTTTTGAGAGCAGAACGTCTCACCGGAGCTAACTCTTCTGTGGCTGAGCTGGCTTTCTTGGCATGTTGTAGACCTCACTGTTGTAGCCTTCTCGGTTACGGGCTATTTCAATGGCGAAGAATTGGATCCTGGTTGCTGCAAAGAGAACTTTCTTTAGGATGGGCATGACACTTGGGGATCTTGCTCCAGTTTCCAACTAATACACCACACTTCCCCGCAAAATAGATGCAGAACAAAGACTGGGAGGGAGGGTGCATGTGCAGTGGGAGGGCCGTGTTTTCTTCATCAAGGATGCTCTTGGGCTGACCAGCAAAGCCATTCTAGGCATCAGCTCATGCAGGGGGCTGGACCAAATGGCTCATGGGATCCCTTCCAACTCACAGCTATATGACTCTATGAATGGCAGAGGAAGACAACTGAAAGCAGAAAAAAGTTACCTTACCAATACTGTGTTCTCTTCTGTGTAACCTTTACTGCAATCCAGACGTAGAAGTGTGCCATAATTAAAGTCCTCAACTACTCGTCAAACTGCAAGCAAATGGACGCCATTTCTGTGGAGCAGAGCATTCGGTTACTTCTGCCCGCAAGAGTCCAAGAGCAACCAGCCTCAAGCCTCACCCAACACAAACCTCTTTAGCAGGTTCGGATTTAAGATCCTCCGGGTCGAGCAATCAATCTAAGACGGTTAAAGTCCTTCTGAATTCAGTGTAGATCTGGTCATCAGCTTTGTAAGTTTCAGGAATTTGGGATCAACTGAAGAAATGAGCTACGCATGGGGAAAGTAGGCAAGGTTAAGTGGGAAGAACAGAAAACAGGATTGCTACCACCACTCTTTCATCCAGGCTGTTAAGTGACTGAAGCAAGCCTTCTGCACACCAGTTTTGTGATGTAGGAGCTCACACTCAAAGCACCTACAAAACATGCAAGGAAAAGACTTGGTGACAAGACCTCAGACTCCAAGGGGTTTTGACAATTATGTGGCCAATCCTGCCACCGGGGGGCTAGGAAAGGGTTGTCCTGTATTGCTCCCAAGGTTGAGGGTGGCTGGCAGCTTTATGCCCAAGGTGTCTAGAGCACGAAGGCTAAACCATAAAAAAATATATATACTCCCTTTCCTGCAGAAACGGGAGCTCTTGGCCACAATGCGGTGGATGCCACACCCACATGCTCCACATCTTTCTGTGGCCAAAGGATGCTTATATAACAGCCATGAAATTCTGAGCTCCTTTGCTGAGCATCAATTAAGCCCTCGGGGAAGAGAGGAGATATTTTGCAATTGGATTCTATCTAACCCAGTGGGAGAGAAACTGGTGGTCAGAATGAGTGGCTGGGCTCCCAAGGCCAGCCAAAAACTAGCCCTCAATTTATACAATGAAGCAGTCACTGCTGAGGATATTACCCAATGCTAGCTGAAAAGCCAGCAGAAAACACCTGCTCCGAACTCCTG